ACCACGTGCAGGAATCGTATCCAGAGTCATGTCCAGATCGTCAGTATCGCGTGGTTGATTGGTAACCATCCGATTCCAAGTCATGGACTTGTCACGCCCACGAGTAGCCGAAGTCCTCGATCGTGCTGAAGAGCTTCTCGCAGATGAAGGTCTTGACTTCTTCTCCAAGGTCTTGACTCCTTTGTCCTTAGCCCTGGACGTAGTCCGAGGTGCCTGAAAACCAGACGCTTCGGCCCGTCGTTCTGAAGCCTTGCCCGTCCTCGAACCTGTGGATGTCGGACGTGAAGGCGTAGATGCTCTTGGTAGACTCTTTGCTTTCCCCTTGGGAACTGCCTTTGCAATTGCAAGCGCAGAAGATTGACCTTTGTCATCTTCCGTGGAGCTATCAACGGATTGCACCACTGTGTCGTCAGCTGTTGACTCACCAACGGCTGGCGCTGCCACATCGGCACCGAAAGTCATTGTCGTATCTTGACTTGATCCTGAGTTCATTGTGGTCGTAGTAGATCAAGTAGTCGTTGCTGTAGAAAGGCAGAGCCGCGTACGGCTGATAACCTGCGTGGGGGATTGATCTCGACTTGGTTGCTGCTCTCCCCACCAGAGCTGTAATGAATGTAGGTGTGGCTGGCTAGCACTCTCCACAGACTGGACCCTGTCTCTCCCTCTTACTTCCACACGTGCAATCCTATGCAGGCAGAACCGGCGGCCGTTCCTTTTGCACTCACTGCCGGCGGCGGTTCGTCTGTGCAACGGGATAGCTCTGATTGCTCAGGATAGAAGACACATATAGCACTTAGCTATGGGCATTGACTTGAGCCAAACGTTGCGTTGGCGGTCACATAGAAAGGTAAAGATGAGGGATGCGTAGCATGCCCCCTAGAGTCGAGGGACGCGTAGCGTGCCCCCTTCTCTTGCACTTTACACGGTCTTGCTCACAGCTCTTATAGTGACACCTTTGAACATGACAAGGCATCGCAGTCCGTTCGCAATTACTACTATTGCTACTATTACTACTATTACTACTATTACTACTATTACTACTATTACTACTATTACTACTATTACTACTATTACTACTATTACTACTATTACTACTGTTACTACTATTACTACTATTACTACTATTACTACTATTACTACTATTACTACTATTACTACTATTACTAGTATTACTACTATTACTACTATTGCTACTATTGCTACTATTGCTACTATTGCTACTATTACTATACTAATACTACTATTACTACTATTACTATTATTATTACTATTACTACGATTACTACTATTACTATTAGTACTACTATTACTACTAATACTATTATTACTACTATTACTAGTATTACGACTATTACCACAAATACTACTATTACTACTATTATGACTACTATTACTACTATTACCACTACACCTTCATGCGCAGCAAAAGTGATAGCCTTACCTCGGGTTCGAACACTCGACCACGCCAACCTCTGTGAAGGGTTGCAAATTTCACCTCAATGCACATCAAAAGTAGTAACTTTACATCGCATTCGTGCGTTCGACCACGCCAATCCCTGTGAATGGTTGCAAAATTCATTTCAATGCGCATCAAATGTAGCAACTTTACCTAGCGTTCGGGCATTCGACCATGCCAATCCCTGTGAATGGTTGCAACAAAGTGCCAATCCCTGTGATTGGTTGCAAATTGCACCTCAATGCACCTAAAAGCGCTTCAAAATAGCAACTTTACACACCAATCCCTGTGAAGGGTTGCAAGTTCGTGCACTCGACCACGCCAATCCCTGTGAAGGTTGCAAATTGCGCCTCGAGGCGCATCTAAAATGTGTAACTGTACCTAGCGTTTGGGCGCTCGACCAAGCCAATCCCTGTGAAGGGTTGCAAATAGCGCCTCGAAACGCATCTAAAATGTGTAACTTTACCTAGCGTTTGGGCGCTCGACCAAGCCAATCCACGCAAAGCGTTGCGCGTCGACCGCAAAATGTGTAACTTTACCTAGCGTTTGGGCGCTCGACCAAGCAAAAACCTGTGAAGGGTCGCGCGGGGCGCCTAAAACGTGTAACTTTACCTAACGTTTGGGCGCTCGACCAGGCCAATCCCTGTGAATGGTTGCGCGGGGCGCCTAAAATGTGTAACTTTACCTAGCATTTGGGCGCTCGACCAAGCCAATCCCTGTGAATGGTTGTGCGGGGCGCCTAGTAACTTTAAAAGTGTGTAACTTTACCTAGCGTTTGGACGCTCGACCAGGCCGATCCCTGTGAATGGTTGCGCGAGGCGCCTAGAATGTGTAAGTTTACCTAGCGTTTGGGCGCTCGACCAGGCATACCAGGCCAATCCCTGTGAAGGGTTGCATTCCCGATCGATGACGACGGTGCCACCCTGGCTATAGAAAGAGAGATTATATACCGAGATGTAGATAAGTCGGATAGAGTCAGAAGCACAGAGTCACAGAGTCATAGTGTAATAGAGTCATAGAGTCAAGTGCATAGAGTCATAGAGTCAAGTGCATAGAGTCATAGAGTCATAGTGTCATAGAGTCAAGTGCATAGAAACAAGTACATAGAGTCATAGCATAGAGTCATAGAGTCAAGTGCATAGAGTCAAGTACATAGAGTCATAGATAGTCATAGCATGCAGTGCATAGAGTTGGAATCCTGGTAAGTCATCTATGCACTCGATTCTATGTACTTCACTCGATGCATGTCATCTATGTACTCGATTCTATGTCTGTCATCTATGTACTTCTCTCGAGGGCTCCGCACGGAAGAACCCTTCGCGATGCTTTCGGGAATAATGTGAACCCATCGGCCACACTGTTCGCCAATCTATCAAGAACTCCTGCCAGAGAGCAGGTCCAGTAAGGTTGGTCAATGTCGCACCAGCTGGCCATGTCGTCAAGCGAGCCAAGCCATTTCGTCATCAGAGCTCTGATCAGTCAGTTCGAAACCCCCACATCTCTTCCGGATTGCCTTCTTCAAACTAGATCCCGCACACCGTCCTTTGGGAAACGACGCTCGCGGTGAAAGTCGGGAGCCTGCGAAAGCACTCTCATAGCCTCCAGGTTCTGCGAACTTCACAATTCGTGTGCTTTCCGGCAGTACGTGCGCCTATCCTGGCCGTAGCCGGCTCTGCGGGCGCAAATGGAGGCGCCAAATTCACTTGCGGAGCGAGTGCTAGCCAAGGAGAAGGTTAAACCGGACGCTCGGCTTTCATCACAAAGGGAGGTGTTCTGGCTCAGGCGGGACATTCTCGGTCAGGTTCAGCCGCGAGCGAGGAATTGAAGTCGCCTTTTGGTTGGGTTGTCGTCGTGGGCCTCCTCCGGCATGGGCTCTCATGCCAAGCATTTCCACGTCTCATGGTACCCTGCAGAAAGCAAGTCTGAAAGTCGGCATGTTGCTAAAACTTGCTGGCAACCTGAGCCGGTCGGAGCTGCTGACACGCACTAAAACTGCTCAGTTCTGTCGACTACTTGCTCGAGGGTTTGAGCACTGTAGACCTGTTCCTGGACCGTTGTTTTCGTGATAGCAATCATAAAGCTCCTCAAAACTGCCGTGACTGTTGCAATGTTTGCAATTGGCATACCGGTAGTGTCCCGGCTACATCGTGGCTCCCAGGTCCAGGATCCGTCCCGATGGCCGGAGTTTGACGTCTAATTTTGCCTCCTCTCCCTCCAGGTCAAGAGCAACCTATATCTCGTCTTTACGCGCTTTTAGCCGCTTTTAGGCATCCATCGTTTGAATGGAGGAATCGCGCTGAAGGGCCTTGGACGGCCGAGAAGGCCCTCTAACCGAGAATTGTTGGAAAGGTGCTTGAATTGCATGAAATGACAAAACTATGGGACTCTCAGCGGATGCAGCGTGCTGCTTCTGATCTATCGCGGAATCCACCCTTTTGCGAGCCACTCTCGCTGCTACCACCACACAATAACACTAACCCGAAACCCTGAACTACCGACGTCCTGTTGGCCTAGTACCGGGAGTTGCAAATTGTAAATTCCGGTTAGTGTTGCGCTAGGTTGCTAGGTGACAAAGGGAGACTCGCGCGGTCTGGGATAATATTGGTTCGACGCAAGGAGGTGGTGCTCACAGTGTCCCCCAAAGCTCATTTCATCCTTCAGAGGAGAGATCCTCGAATTACCCGGAGGATCCATGGAAACAGTTCCTGGTTTTGTTCTGAAAGCATCAGAAAGGTGAGAGGAGCAGAGAGTGGGAAATCTGTGTCGCTAAAGGCACGCGGATAAGAGACCCACCCAGGAGTATACTGCTGAAGTAGCTGGTGTACTTAAGGTGTGCCAGCAGCTGCCAGCACACTGAGTGACGCCCCTCAACTTGTAACTTGAGTGCGGGGCCCACGACTCCCCTTTCAAAGTGCATGGACGGTGGGAGCACACTTCAACAACCCACGCTAAGCGCAGCACCTGGACTGGAAACAGACCGGAGAGGTACTGCTGAAGAAGCTGCATGCCCTCCACTTGTAACTCAAGCACGGGGCCTATGCCTTTCGTACCTGTAGAGGACGCACGGGGCCACGCCGGGTTAACACAAACGCAAAGTGCAATAAAAGGCGGAACCTCGCTTGATTGCTTCACCCCAACAAGCAAGGCCGCCAGACCGTCTGCGCATGCTAATTCTTATGTATCTTACGTCTGCTCATAAGACATAATGGCATTCTGCTGCCTCCAGCACAAGAAGTTCATTTCACCTACCAAGCACTACCTTCCCAATGTTCATTCTCCAGAACATGTTCTGCAACAGTTGCCGTCGCCCAGTGTCTTTGATCGGCTTTGCATGCCGTGTTGGAGACAAGTCTTGGCCAGAAGGGAAAACGTGCACCTTCCAATAGACACCATGGCCAGGGAGTCCAGACGACCCAAAGAGGCGAGCCGAGCCCCTTTGTTCCCCCCCGGCGCGTGCGCATTCCCAAAGAACTGCAACAGACTGGAAAAGAACTTCGCAGCTTGTGAAGCCGCCATCTTTGATGGGGCATGGTGAGGTTGCTGCCAGTGAATGAAGAAGACAAGCGTATCCCCGACCTCAGTTCAGCAGAAGAGCTTGAGGCACGGCACCTCACCACCTTCTCATGCTGATCTGGGGAACAGGCACCTACTTTCGCAGTTTCCAGGACCGACCCGTACGCGTAGACCTCCTGACCTCGGAGCTGCAGCTGCTCACTGACCGAGGCGTTCACCTCAGCCGAGGCAGCCGCCGCAGATGGCATAGGCCTCTTGGCAGGCGATGATGCCTGCCTGTTCCAAAACACGTCGAGCATAAACAAACCGATATGCTTCCGTTGCTTCCTTGGTTCGGATGCTCGTCTGCCCTGCTTCCGTGCACGACGGGAAAGTCTTGCAGGAAGACTTTCGGGAAGCTTGGCTGGCCTGGCTATGCTGTCCCTGAAACAGTCAGTCCTGAATCATCTTCATGCAGGACTCTCTGCGTGATATGCACCGGATGCTGGTACTCCTGGTCCTGTCCCTAAATATCCGGACCGGAGCAAGACAGACTCCAGGCGACACGACATCCAACAGCTCGTGTCACCACTCCTGGCCCCTACGAAAGAAAGGACGATGCCCTCTCTCTCTCTCTCTCTTTCTCTCTCTCTCTCTCTCTCTCTCTCTCTCTCTCTCTCTCTCTCTCTCTTTCTCTCTGGAACTGGAATTGGCCCGGCCTTCTTCTCAATGTTGTAATTGCGAAGACGGCCGACGAAGCAAGGCCTGGAAGAAAGGCGCTGCTGGGGTGGGAATGCCTCGAGAAAATCCACGAAATTGGAGCTTCCCTCGCGCAGGTCTCTACCACTCTGACAAACAGTGCCGGCCTAAACAGCAGGGGTCCCTACATCCTCACGCTCCACTTTACATGCCACATCCCAGTCCATATCTCTTTCTTTCGCCAGGCATGAGGGGCAAGCCCCCCACCGTGGGGCTGCCCGCTGTTGACGGGTTGCATGGTATTACATGCGAAAGGCTAAGACTACGTGCATCCAGCATCACTGACACCACGACAACACGTTCTGGCAACCTAGATTCCATACACGACTGCATTCACTCGTGATGCATGGCCTGCCTTGCAAGTTGCCCCGGGACGGCTATTCCGCCCTACATCAGTGTGCCCCGCTAGAGAAGCAAGCTCAAAAAGGTAACCCCGACTTGCTGGCAAACTTTCGGGCTCATTGAAGTTGGGCACAACTCGCATACTGAAGCAAGGCACCTTACCTGGGGCTCAGGACACGAGGTACTCTCTCACTATAGTACAGCACGTCTGTTACTGCAATGCGCAGGCCGCGACAGGTGGTGTGTTGCCCATATCTCTTTCTTTCTCCAGGCTTGAGGGCATGCCCCCGCTGGGGCAGCCTGTGCTGTTGGTGGTATGCACGGTTTTACGTGCAACAAAGGTTCGAGCTCCCCACGGGCCTCTCTCTCTCTCTCTCCTCCGCTGGGGCTATGGGCTGGGGATCGCTCCCCTGCCTCTCTCTCTCTCTCTCTGGCTCTTTCTGTGCTTCTTCAGAAGGGACATGCGATTGCAGGCGCCCCACCCCCCCCCCACCCGCGCGCGAATTCGCGTCTGGTCTTTGCCGTCGCCTGGCCTACTGAGAAGTCCTCTCCTGTCAGTGAGTCGTTCTTGGTCCCTCTTTCTCCTTTATTCCTCATCTCTTGGAAAGGCTGATACGATTCGCTCAACTTACTGTCGCTTGCGTTTCCTTTCCTTCAAACAGGCCGCGTGGGGCTTTCTTCCTGTACACCTTGATCTTTGGATGTCTGCCTCAACTCTTACTTTGGATGCGTGCTTGTGCTTACTACTTAATGAACCAAAGCCAAAAACCAAACATGACAAAAGGAAATGCAAGCACGCCTTGTCCCCCTCGGTTTTGGTTAAGTACAACACACAATATTGCTCTTACAGCTTACTGTGTTCTTCTTGGTCATCTGTTCCTGGTAACGCTTGCCTGGTCTCCTCGATACACCGAACAAAGGGAGGTGCTAACTCAAAGAGCAAACTAGTCACGGAACAACGATACGAGACCTCCAAGCTTATATTCCGCAAACCGTGCCTAAGTGCTTGAAATCAAGTCTTGCTCCGTCTCTCCACTCCCGCGATCTGGCAGCCCGGCTCTCCCCAGGCGATCTTGGTCGCGACCTCGCAATTCTGTGCTGCGTGCGCTGAGTCCAAGCACTTCGCCAAACTCTACAGTCGGCGGCTGGGCCTTGCCCTTCTTTCCCTTTCCTCGCAACGAGTGCAAGATGGTCTCTCAATGTCTCTCATTCCATGCTCACGACTTGAGCGGCCAAGGCTCCCTTTCCCTTGCCTTTGCCCTTGCCACCCTCCTTGCCCGGCTTGGATTCCTGGCAAGGGAAGCTGCTGGCATGACAGGCCGCTAGCCCCAGGGAGGAGAAGGCTCACGTCGTCCTCTCCGTCGCCGGCCTTCTCACCTCAAAGTGGCCACTCTTACTTTTTCAGAGCAAGCTCTCATTTGTCCCCAGCGGTCCTTCTTGGTCCTGACCCTGCTTCTGGGAGTTTCCTGCCAGGGGCTAGAAGAACGAAGAGACGACTCCAAAGCTATCAACATGCACACGGTTACGGCTGTGTGCAGACGGCTCAACCGAATTCCTGCGGGTTGCTTGGTCCGCGGAGCAAAACAATGATCGGCGGTATGTGCTTGCGTTATCTTCTTCCGTCTTACAGTTGATCTGTACCGTCGGAAGCCTTTAGCATCGCAAAAGAGACAACTATCGGCAACGATTGTCAAGAGTACAACAGGGCTTCAGTTTCGACAACGAGGCCGAGCCCGAAGTCGGCGACTCGGCGATGCAAGGATCTCAGGTTGTGAGAGCCCGAATCTGTTCCAGAAAAGGCTCCGACAAAAGATCGAGGCCTATAACAACGGGCCCCAAAGTGAAGACAACAGGGAGTCAGCCCAAGGGCCTGCCAGTATATGCCAGTACCGCTAGCCTCGCTTCGGCAAGTGGCCGGGCATCGGGCAACTACCCAAGTAGGCACCAGAGAATAGTGGTAGCACAGAGGCCTGCAAAAGTCACGACATTGGAGAACAAATACAACAAGAAGCGCTTGTCTTGAGCAAGTCATCAAGAGCCTTTGCAACTCCGGTCTACAATAGATACCCTTGTTTCAGAACCCGTGACCCAATGGCACAAAGATTCACGAAGTGGCCGCACAAGCATCATGGCGTCCTGCGCCCTTGTCTCGATCTCCTTTTCCTCTGTCTTTCCCCTTCCCTTTGCCGCCTCACAAGGGAGGTGGCAGCCGCTGAGATCGTTAAGTCTGATATGCTGCCTTCGAACCCCCTGAGCTCCTGGCCCTTCTTACCATCCTGAATATCAGTGTCCGCATACACACAGATGAGAGTCTACATCTCCACAATTCAGGTTCTTGTGAGGGTGTTCCACGAACAGTGTGTTTGTGTCTGTCGGTGCAACGAACAAGCAGGAGTCACGCGACGACATGGTACGAGCCAAAGCTGTCCGACTGGGCCTTACCCTTCGAGCCGCCAGAGGACTTTTCACCTCACGGACGCGTCTGGCAACAAAGTTCACTGATTGAAATCCTGGCTGTCAGCACCCTCATCCACTGAAGCTGCGCTGTGCACAAGCAAGACGCCCAGTTACCTATGCCGAATGATCACAGATGAGTAATTACACCAACATGCCCCTGTCAACTCGTCGGCGAAAGCTTTTTAAAGCTGGATATCACTTGCGGCCGGGCGGCCTCGGGGCTCAGGCCGGCCTGGCTGCCTCCGCCTCGGCTTCGGAGATTTCACTGGAGGAGCTTTTGGGGCTTTGGGGTCGGGTCTGCGCTTCAGGCCTGTGAGCAGCTTTACAGGAGTGACCCCGGCGTGAAGTTCTGACGTGCGACAAAACTTCCCTGGCGCGTTCCCTTGTGAACATGAACTCACGCGGAGCGCCGCAGTCGAACCGATTCAGCCACTTCTTTAGTCGCCGCTGATGCGGGTGGGATGCCTGTACAAAGTTGCCGTCCTTGCCACAGTATCCGCGTAGCCACGTGTAGCCTTGCTCTTCCCGGATCTGTACATCATCTGGCCTTCGGCCAAGAAGCCGATTCGATCGGCCCAGGGAACCGAGAGCCACTGAGAACACATTGAACTCAAGCTTAGGGCATGCATAGGGCTGCTTAGAGTTTGGTGTTCGGGGCCTTAGTACAAGAGTTGATCTACCGCCGCGAACAGCGAGGCTGTGTCCTGCATGGCCCAAGCACATCGTTCTCTCAGGCTCGCCAACTCCTCTTCGTCGTCTTCAAACAGAGTGACCTCTGGGACACGGTGCAAAGATGCCCGGGCAAATGTCGCATAAGGCCTGGGAGAGCTCCCCGTTTTGGTGCCACTGCCGCTCGACGCAGGGCATGCCATAGATCGCCAGGCCCTCAATGGCCTCAGAGTCAAGGTGCTCTCACACACCACTGAAACAGCTCCTTGCAAGAGCAATGACTGGATAGAATCGAACCTGCAAGCCGTATCCCACTTGAGGCTTTCCTGGCCTGGAGCTGTGGGTGGTCCAAGTGCAGCGGTTTCGGCGGCTCGAGGTCGTACTCTCTGCTCGAGCAGAGCTGCCATGAGAATGCTCAGAGCTTACCAAGAAAACGAGACGCGGCAAGCCTGTCTCATCCATACTCTGCTTCTGATGGTGATAACTGTGGACTGCAATGGCTGCAGGACTGCAGGCCTCGTGAATCTCTGGACACCCAGACCTTCGCTTCCAGCTGTTCGTCTCCCAAACTGCATCCTTCACAAGATGCTCTGGCGACCAGAGGTTTAGAGCCTCAGGATTCGCGCCGTTCCAGGTTCGAAGATATCTTGAAGTCTCAGGCAACCGTCGCACGATGCTACATGAAGCCCTGTTCTTGCATGACAAGTGCCGAAATCACAGTCACTCTACCCGATCAAGCTCGCCGTTGAAACGAGTCGAGCCAGAGGGATGTCTTGCCGCGAAGACGCAGTTCAGTTGACGGGACTGCAGGCGTTCCCAAGCACGTGAAACGAGGAAAGCTCGGACGGCAACCTTTCACCAGCACCCTCAACTACTAGGCGGGATGGAAACAGAGATGTGGTGATTGTTGTACTGTGCAAGCTTACAACACTGACCCTAAGTTTCAGACTGATTCGTAGGTTGCTTGGCGAATCGTTTCCCCAAAGCCTCCCAGGCCGCCCTGCCCACCAAGAAAGTTCTGGCATTCCAGCTCCGGCTCACCTCAAGTATTTTTCTTTGAAACCCACACCTGCGTAGGATGTCAGCACAGCCGGCGTTCCCATGCGTTCCATCACTAAAGCTGCAGTTCGGCGGGTCCTTCACCAGCCGTCCTTCCTTCCACACGCGCTCCGCATAGAAAGATGCACTCCCAGGTCCTTCAGGAAAGAGAAGAACACAAGAACCACACAGCTGCCAAGTTAGAAAACCGTGCCGTGCGAGCATGTGCCTCCTACACGATAGGGAATACAGGTGGATCGCTCCAGCCCATGAAGCCGTCCATTCGGAAGCCGCCGGCGCTGGAGCCGAACATACCTGAATCTGAATGCTCCAAGTCTCAATACAACAGCCCCATGTCAAGTGCTCTTTTGTCTGCAAACTGCTGACATGGTTCAAGTCGCCACACCTTTCTGATTCTGACGAATCTTCTCTCGCGAACCGCTCCTCGAGCTTTCAGGACGGAAGGCTGAATCCACAACGTATGCAGTTTCCAGCTATCCTGAGACTCCCACCTGAAGAACCTCTTTAGAAGCCGACACTGCTTCAGCAGCGGCACGACCTGTTGCAAAACATTGCTTCCGGCCAATCTTAATCGGTGCTCTTGATTTCCTTATGTTGCCCTCAATGTGTACCATTGTGTACCGTGATAACTGGGCTTAAGGAGCAGACAGCCCAGCGCGGTGTCTCTGCTCCGTGGCTCTACTCTCAGTTCGCCACTGCACCGGGCCAAGGCTGCCAAAACATCCAAAGCAGCACAGTCCTGCTCACAAGACTCGTTCAAATCCCCGTGCTGCTTCGCTCTGCAGGGAGGGGTCTTCGAGAACGTGCATATGCTGGGGCTTCAGAATGACATGAAAGCTTGGAGGGTTGTTCAATCACTCTTTGCAGGGTGTCGGAATTCCCTCTCAGTCTCTTACAGTCTCTTCTTCGTGCATCTTTTGGAAAGTGCCAGCGCCGCGAATGTGCAAAAGAATTTTGAGGAGGGATACAGGGGCTACCGAGGGTGGGTAGACGGTGAGGACGGTGGGTTGGAGGGGGGCAGCCGCGCATTCCACATCCGAACATTCAAATCCAACAGCAAAGGACAATTACAAAACAAGAGCACAGAAAGATCAACCTGAACAGTCTAACAAGCGTCTTCCGAACATCTTTTTGTCTTCGCATCTCAGCACGTTTCTGGCGGATCAGCATCCCCGTTCAGCGTTGTCTTCGACAGGATGCCGTCCTCGCGAGTGGGTGAGGGACTCAGGTTTACAGGGTTGCAACATCGATGTCTTGTGAATAGTTAGCTTTGTGACCGGTGAAAGGCAATTCAACCGCACACAAAGCACTATGAGTCACCTTCTTGTAGAAGTAGTGTTTCGCCGGTACCCCAATGCGTGCCTGGAAGGTATCTTCAATCATGCAGAGCATGCAGAGCTCTACGAGACACTTGAAGCTACAAAGCCACGGACGCCTTGTTCTCATTCCGCTTCAGCTTTCCGTCTCTCCGGCGCTGGTCGAACACTCGTCGATTCGACTCCTGGGCTTTGAAGCATCCGACTTAGCATACTGCTGGCATTCTGGCAGAAAACACATAGAACATTTCGCACTCAGAACATCTAACCTGTCCATCAAATTTTCAACCTTCGCTTTTGTTCCTTTGCCGTGAGTCATGCTGTGATCGGACCTTTGCTGTCGCCCCTCCCATTCCCCACACGCATCTGTCGTTCTTGTTTAGCTCCCTTGCAACAACCTCTGTCTCTCGAGCTGGACAAGTAAGCTTTGCTCCGGCTGAAACATCGATTTGAGCTCCGTTAACAGTCACTGCATGCAAAGCCATCGCCTGGTCATCCAGGATATGTTTATCGGGCGCAAGACTGGCATATATCCAAGGTCGGACCGCAAGCAGTATCTGATTGTAGCAAGCAGGCAAGCATGTCCGTGGTTTAATGCCATCAGGCAGTCGCCGCGAAAAAAACAAGAAGTCACAAGAAGCCCATTGCAGTCTGAGGCGCATTCATTTGACCCCATTTTTTGAGCTCCAAGACAGGATCGCAGTGTTCGACTTTTTGCTCTGTTGTGTTGAGAATGGCTTGTGAAAGAGCCGCGCTTCCTCCCTTGGAGTGGTGTCCACGGCCAAGGTCTTTCAAGCGTAAGACCAAGTCGGTGTCTTGACAACCCATTGGGAATGCATCTTCATCATAGCCGCCGATCTCCATGAAATCGGACCTCTTGGCTGCGATGCGACCGCACGTACCTTGACCGTGTTCGTACTGAGCAACAGCCGCACCGTCCTTGAAGCGTTCACAAACATCCTGTAAAAAGCTAGCACCGACTAAGTTGTCGCTGTCGACATTCACGAGAATGTGCTGGTCAGCCACAGCATGCGCCGTATTTTTGCCAACTGATGCATGCCAGAACTTCTCCTCTGCTCTGTAGACTCGCAGCAGTCCACATTCCATGGCAAAGCGGCACCGCTCCACCAAAAAATTTAAGCTGGAATCCTTGCTGCCCAGGTCGACTACATGAACACAGCACGACTTCCGATGCGGCCAGCAATGCATCAGCGTCAGCGGTAGCGCTCGACGCAACTGCCAGAGTCTGTTCATGGTGGCCGTGCAAAGTCCAACGGAGTAAGGGAGTGGCTGTGGGAGCTTGCTTGGATCCTGCAAGTGCATCCATGCTTCTTCCAGCTGTGGCTGCAGAGCGTGACGGCAGGCCCAGACAGCTGCCTTTCGAAGAGTTGGTAAGAACGCACCATCCCACACCTCTTCTTTCGTCGTGCCCTGCTGTACCCATCGCACACGAGTCGTCGTGCTGCCTTCTGCGTCCAAGAACCAAACGCGCCGCTCTCCGTGCAGGCCACGGCCTTCGCCCGAGTCCCAAGCGAGTCCAATCTCAGGAAGCTGGGGCTCTCGACTCCGAAGCTTCACAAATCCTCTGGGCCTACAGGGCCCCTGTCCGTGTGTTTTGTCCCCGCCCCTTCCATCCCACACCTCCAGCACAGACGAACAACCTCTGTTTTCAGGACCTGTCTTGCGCCGGACCTGTACCAAACCCAACGCGGAACTGATCCACTCGCCCAAAAGCTTGTCCAACAGCTCAGACTCCTCACCCGCCACCATCGCACTGGCTCATGACACTCTCGAGAGGTGCCTAACAACACTGGACTTACACAGACTTTCTGTATCAAGCGAAAACAAGCCTAACGACAAGAACACGACCTTGTTGTGGATGGACATAGAACAGATCTACCAATTCAAAGCATTGAGCCTTCCTCACAAAGAATAACTGTCAACTCCTCTGTTGCGGTGCATCCCAGCTCAAAGTCAGTCAGTCCAGCAGATGCTGGAGTGCAACGTCGGGCCAGGTTGACATCGGAAATCCTGCATGTGGCACCGTGAACATGCATCATCTGTCGATTGTGCTGAAAGCTGCGGCAACATGCCGGATGAACCCGAGCAGAATGTGCGAAGTTGCAATCAGACGTGCTTTCTCTCATGCCTGCTATGTCTCAGAAGAAGCAGCAGACTTTTGCAAGATGCCCAGTAAAATCTTCCAATAGAATTCATCCAACTGTCTACTAAAGTCTACTGCTCTGATACTTGTAGAAAACATTCGGCGGCCAAATTCAGACACGTTATCCTTGTCCCAGACAGGAAACATTCCGGTATGGGCTATTGCGTTACTTGTATTGCGAATGCTCATTTTGGGCGGTTGGGGATTGCAAATATTTGGACAAAGCACTCGTTGAGAAAGAAGGCCCGTTTCAAGAGTCCTCGAATCCTGCACAGCTTTCGAAGAGGCGCTATACCACTTGAGCGAAAAGCCACGGCTCAGATGCGAGACAATGCACAAGTTTCTGCAAGACCAAGTAAACAAAGGGTTGCCAAAGCAACCCTGCCGAGGGTCGCGCTGCTGCGGTCTGCCAGAGCTTTCTCTTCTCGGCCCCTGAAGGGCACTCACGCCATGCCGATACCATCTATCGTGCCCGATAAACCCTGAGAGCAGAACACCCGAGGTTGAGGAGCTCTTGTCTAACCTCGCAGCAATGCACCAGGTCCGTCTGCCCCCAGAACGCTGATCCGAACTGAGACAATGCCCCAAGTCCCAGTGACCTCTGAGCCCCTGACGCCCCATAGCCTGGTGCAGATCCTGAAGAAGAAGCTGAAGCGCCGTACGGTGATCCATACGCCGGGGCTCCGTAGCTCGGAGGCGCCCCGTATTTTGGCGGGGGCCCATAGCCGTAGCTTTCCGGAGGTGGTCCGTAGCTTGGCGGCGGGGGTCCATAACCGTACGCCGACGGTGCACCGTAGCTTGGTGGGGCTCCGTAGGCCGGTGGATAACTATACTCTGGCGGAGGATAGCCAGGCGGAGGGCCATAGGCCGGGGGGGCTGGATAGCCAAAGGCATATCCATCCGGCGGTGGGTAACCGGGTGGCGGATAGCCGACAGGCGGCGCCGTCGGGTCTGCCATCACGAACAAGCGCGGACTCTGATCTACATCTTGCGGTCAGGCATGCCTCAGCTTTGCACTTGCTAGGAACTGATTCCGGCGATCGTTATCAAGCTTGGACAGCCGCAACACGCCTGTAAACTGACATCATGGTAGATTTGGTGGACACGTTTGATGTCTGCACTTCTCTGCAATAGCAATTTTGACAGTACACTTTCTTCGCTCCCATCCATCGTATGTCTTTCCCATCCTTTCTCATACTCTGACTCAGCTTGAACCATGTGCATTTGATATAGCGGTGACCGGATACCTGATATTGACCTCACGGAAAGCGACATGTCTGAAAGTCATTTTTTTGGGAATGTTGGGGGCTCTGGCAATAACTTCCACTTACATGCCGGCGCCCAACCAGTTGGGCATGTGAAAACAGAGCCATGATGACTGATGCCACTACGGCATGCCGTGCTACGAGATGCAAGCGAAAATGCCAGCACATATCGCGCTGCACCAGGCGAAACAAAACGGCCGCTGTTTCTACCTACATCAAATGGCCAACAAATTCGGCTTTCCCTGTTTGGCAAGGGCCAAACAGACAAACAAATACAACGAAAATCAATTATTGTAAAGCCTACTTGCTGAAGGCCAACTTCCACTATGCAGCAATTTCAAAAATGCTCCATGATTGTATCTAGCGGTTGACAAGCGTGCCGGCATGTTGGAAAAGGCCTTCTCACAAACGTCATCCATAACTATCTTCGATGGCCCGATGCCGTTTACAATTTCAACATGTGGACATCAAAACAGCAAAATTGAAACGCACTGCGGCCCTTAAACTGTTCCCAACCTCCTTCATCAGCAGAGTGGGTGCCGGGACCGCGCTGTTTTTTCTGTGTTTTTTCGGTTGTGGTCGGCGTTTTGTGATCTGTTTAAACTTTAGTGAACTTTGGTGCCTGGACCATACAGACAATGAATACACTCAGATGGGGTTTGTTCCCAAGCTGGAGCTGTGATTTGTTGGCGATTGTTTTTGAGTCTTGGCGGATCGATCAACTTCCTGAGGCTTTGTGCCCAGCTCCAAGTGAATTACCCATTGCAGGTATAATGCTACTTTTGCAAAATCACGCTTGAATCTCAAGGCTGCATTGGGCAGTAGGTATGACCCAACAAACGAGGCAGTCTTGTTGCACACACAGCGCCTCGGTGGATTGGGTCTCCAATCTACAACCCAATCCACCGCCTGACAACTTCTGCAAAAAGATACTGGGAGACTCATCGACTCATCATACGATACAGTCACGGCAAGGATAAAAAGCCCCAGTTTGCGAGCTACAAGTGTGACTCGCATGTAGGGAAATAAAACCGTGCACCCCTGCTAATAGTGACATGCGCTTCTTCAGGTGAACGCCGGGCCCTCAGCCTTTCGAGCGCGTCTTGAAAATTTCGGCACTCAACTCTAGACTCTCTAAAAGCATCCTGGAATCGGCACTCATCCCGGCATTTCTCCGAGCCTTGCGCTTCCAGCTCAGTGCACCTCCTCACATACTCCCTCGAAAAATGTCGTCCGCCGTTGCTCATGCCCAAGTCGGCTTGCACATCTCTCTGACTTCCTCCGTGGTAGGGCTCATCCTCTTCAGCCTGGGTTTACCGGCATGGCCTTTTTTCCGGAAATCCAGGCTGAGGCTGCACTCAGGTATGTAGTCTGTAGCACAACTATAAAGTTCGTTGTAGCTTCAGAATAACGATAATTGTCAAGAACATCGTTGATTGATGTAAGAGCGGTTTCGCACTGTAGATATCACGCCCAAATGCGACGACGTTTTGGGCGTTCGAAATAAGTGGCACTCTTGAAACTCATCTGCATTCAAAGTTGCCCCAAATGTTGCGAAGAGAGACCGTGCATGATGTCACATATCCCGGGTTGGGAAGGTGGGACAAAATTTTTGTTTCCTCCACGGCTTGAGAAACTTCGCAGCATCAGTGAGATGATTGTCCGTGCCCCATGTGAGACATAACTGTCAAGACATGAAGAATAAAGAAAAGCATGCATGAAAACAACGAATCACACAAAGCTGTTCCTCTCTTTCTTCTCTCCTTCGCCCCAGCTTGTTACGAATGAGTGCGCGAGCTTCACCATCAGCCCTCTGAGCATAATTTTTTGGAGTGTTCCCGAACCCAGTTCGAACTCCGCAAAAGTGTGAGAAAAAAAACATGATAAGACGCGCTCCAGCTCGGCCGATGTTTTACCTCGACCCGCAACGTAAAGGCTCGGTGCTCTGAGAAAGCGTCCCGCAGGCGCTTCTGGCCACTCTCGGGAGGGTGGGAGGGCCACAGAAACTGCATTCGCACATCGTATCATGAGGTGGTCATGATAAGACGCGCTCCAGCTCGGCCGATGTTTTACCTCGACCCGCAACGTAAAAGCTCGGTGCTCTGAGAAAGCGTCCCGCAGGCGCTTCTGGCCACTAGCCAAATTCAGGCTGCGAAGCGCGCCGTCATGGCCTTGGAAAGCCCGCCATCACACCACTGTAGATGGCTGCCGCTGCAAGCAGTCTTCGACGCGTAGCCTCCTTCAGCTCGGGAAGGATTGAGATGGCCGACATCTCTTGAAGATAAAACTCCAAGGTCGCTAGGCTCCGCAATCTCATCCGCCAGAGTAAATCTTGCACAGAAGCCCCTCGCTGAAATGCGCAGATGGCCCCTCCTGCCCGAAGGGATCCCGGAGTCAGCTTCAGCTTTGCAGGCACACCCAGGAGCGCGAGGATCTTGTCCCAGCGCCGTCTGTAGACTCCAGGGCTGCCAGGGTACAGCAAGTCGTCTCTGTTCAGCGTCGCGAAGAAAGTCGTCAGAAAAGCCAAGGCTGTCTGTCGTGTGGTCCCAGAACTGTTAAAATCATTTGAAAGATATTTGAACGGTATTCCGTTGGAATCTCATCGAAACATATAAGTAATAAAATCTCGATGGAAATCTCAATCGGAATATATTGCAGATATAATTCCGCAACTGCTCACCAAAGGATCGCGCATGTTTTTCACACCTCCCTCGCACTGCTCGGATCTTGGACGTCGGGGGTAAATCGATGGATGGCAGAGGCAACACTCTCCGACTCATCCACACCCGAAGGCATCACACCATTTCCCCCCAGGGTAGGGCGGGTGGGCTAAAAATTCAAGCTTGATGCCCGACTTCGGATGTAGTCGCTTCACACAATTCCATGCGTGCATGAAAGTGCAAAGCATGTAAATTGAAAAGGTCGAAACACAAATGAAATATCTCAAACTGTGTGACGACAAATTGAAGAAATGTTTTCTCGAGCTACCGCGAGGTGAAACATACAGTTCAGGGTTCGCTACGTGCCTACGCCCCACACAACAGACAGAAGTATCCGCACGCAGACACTAGACGTCTGTCGTGTGGTCCCAGAACTGTTAAAATCATTTGAAAGATATTTGAACGGTATTCCGTTGGAATCTCATCGAAACATATAAGTAATAAAATCTCGATGGAAATCTCAATCGGAATATATTGCAGATATAATTCCGCAACTGCTCACCAAAGGATCGCGCATGTTTTTCACACCTCCCTCGCACTGCTCGGATCTTGGACGTCGGGGGTAAATCGATGGATGGCAGAGGCAACACTCTCCGACTCATCCACACCCGAAGGCATCACACCATTTCCCCCGTCAACTGTGATGCTGAGCATACACCTTCATCAGATCATCGAGAGCAGCAAAGGAGAAACATGGGTCCTTGATGAATCGCAAGAGCTCATCAGGGAATGACACACCTCCCTGGTCAACTGCACTGAAGGATTCGCATAACTTCTTCGATTCGCCCCTGGAGGGCAGATCGGCCGGGTTCGATTTTGATGGCACCCTGTCGTACCAAGCACCGAACGGAAGAACTGCATCCATCGCGTTGATCACTGCCATAATCCTAAACATGGCCTCTGACTGGCTCGATCTCTTGATGAGCGTGGCCAAGGCGGAGTTGTTGTCCACAAAGACGAAGCCCTTTCGAGCGCATAACCGCTTTCCGAAATGCCATCTAGCGCACAAGACAGCGAAGAGCTCTATCTCGCATATGATCTGCTCCCCAACGGTCAGAAGCCAATGTTGCCGGATGTCCTCAGGGATGCATCCAGACAGTGCGAACCTCTCCTGCGTCTCAAGGTCACATAAGAAGACTCCCCAGAGAGCCTGATCGCCTTCAAGAGAGCCGTCAGTATACACGATCACAGGTTCACGAGGATCGGTCACTCGCAAAGTCCTGGGCTTCATCGCACAGAAGACTGAGCAAAGCATGTCGTTGAGGCGAACAATGGCCTCCGAAGAAAACGTTGCCGGCCTCGCAGCCAACTTCGAGTACTCCCTCGCAATAGGCTTCAGAGCGGAGCCCAAGACGAAACCACTGGCGAAGTTCAAGAGTCCATGAAGCGAAGTGGCAAGCTGCTTAACGTTGGAATCCTGCTTGGTCAGTTGCTGGGCAATCGACTTGATGCGGTCAACCCTGCCTTCTTTGTTTCTAACCTCAAGAGATCCTTGGTGAAGACTGGAGAAGTCGAACTCCGCCCCCAAGGCAACCCACTGGCTCGCGAAATCCACAGCCTTCTTCCCGGTGGTGGCGTGAATCCACCCCAAAGCGTTGAGCAGCCGGGAAACGAATCCGAAGCGTTAGCGGCCAATGGAACAATCTCGAAGGTCGGGTAATCGTCCACATAGACCGAGGTGACAAGTCCCAGCTTCACCACTGCTATGTGCCACAATGCACGGGAAATCTTGTTGAAGGAGAAAACCGAACCCGACCCACCAAATGGTAGACCTCGGGCCAGGTAAAAGGTCCATTTTGATTCTCGTGATGGCATGGCAATGACAGCGTATTTCAGCGAACATGTAGCCACCGGCACTTGCTTGTAGGCTTTAGAGAGGTCAAGACATCTCCCAACCCAATGCGCATCTCTGCTCTTAGGGTGCCACTCGCCTTCGAGGACCTCACCCGATTGAAGGGAAACACGCACCTTCTCCTTGTCGCTCCAAACCCTCGCTACGAAGAGAGCCATGGAGGCGACGAAATCCAGGTCGTGAAGCTGCAGCAGGGATGTGGACCCGAACGATGCATTGACGCCCGAGTCCCTCAAGTTGTCAATGACACGCGGCTTTCTTGCCTCTCCCTGCAAGAGCAGGAATCTTTGACTTGGAGTCCACTGGCTGGTCCCCAACCTCTCAGTCACTTTCTCCTCGCAATCGAACGGCCCCTCAAGAAAACCCAATCGGCATTCTTCGTCTGTCTCATCAGTCAAGATGGTCAGCTCCTCCTGGGACAACTTTTGAGGCGGCTTTGAGAGGAGCTCACGGCGCCTCCAAATGGCCTGCGAGTCAAGCTGCTCAGGAGTGGCCCTCATGGGCTTAGGCCTGGTCGGAAACAAAGGAGAAGGATCCTCGGCCCCCACGAGAGACACTCCCTCTTCCATGAAGCGGCAAACCTCCTTGTCCGGAAAACCAGTTTCCTCGATCAGCTCTCGAAAGAGCCGAAGACACTTGCCCCCCGTGATGGGGTGGTCTTCGCCAGTCCCAAGCTCGTTTGCCCTCGCCTCAATGCTCGAGAGGGTCTCATGCCTCATCTTCGCAATCTCCTCTGGGCCTTTGGTAGCCAAGTCGAAGATCGCCCTTCTTATGCAATCAGGGACGGTGCTTGCCGACTCCGCGGGATGCTCCAGTTTGGTTGCCAGATCAAAGTGTTCCTGCATCGTGTGATACACTCCCCAAGCCTTACTGGGATTCGAGGAGAAGACTGGTCCTCCAACCTCGCCTTCCCCCGCCAAATTGGAGGGGCAGTCAGAGAGGCCGGGCCAAGCAAATTGCATGTCACGAAGCACCGCCAGATCCCGGGGCGGAAGATGGTGCCAGTCACGAACAGTGAAGGCCACCAAGACTGTGCGTCGACCCTGGGCCGGCAGAACCTGATGCGGGAAGCGTGTTTGAAGAAAGCACGGCTCTGCATGAACAGGCAGGGTTTGACCCTTCACACGCACGCCGCCATTGGAAAAGCGGGAGAGCGGAATGATGACGTTGTAGAACTTGTGGTCGTTGTGTGCATCAACATGTTCAGGGCCATAGAAGTCGTCGAAGACGGCCAATGAAGAGTACACGGCACCTGGAGCAAAGTGCTGAACAATAGCCGCGAGAAGGCGGCACACGTGTGGCATAGATCGAGACACACTGTGAAGGCCCACCTGGGAAGAGAAAACATAGGCACCACAGGTCCATGCCAATCCGTCAGCAGTGGCCCCACGACGGGAGCGCTGAGATGGCTCCAAGAGATTGACAAGTTGCAAAACATCATCCTGCGCGCAGGTCTTCTGCTGGAGCAACGACCAAGCAAGCTTCTCGACCGCATGGGCATCAAGAGGAGCGGGAGAGTTCACAGGAGCCGGGCCAATACACACAGGCCAAGAAGGTGTAGCAGAGCCTCTGGCCGAGGCAGTATCCGTGGGAGGCACCATGTCGGGCAAAGGCTTGGCATCAGGATGGGGCGCCCGGTCGGCCCAAACAATCTGCCGGAACTCAGGGATTAGGGTGGCATGCTTTAGGGTCTGGGCGCCTGCAGCAGCAAGCGTGTCCAATCGAAATTGCCGAGTGGTTTCACGGAACAAAGCCGGACTGACAGCAGCAGATGCCGCCTGTACGAGTTTTCGGCAGAAGACACGAGGGTATTGAGCCTCAGAAGAGGTATCGAAGACCCAAGTGCCCATACGCATCTTTTGTCCATAAGGAACATGAGAATGCCTCCCGTCGCAGGGGACCGAAAGAACCTCGAAGACCTTGGGCGTGCATCGAATGCGTGTGTCCTTGCGGCGAGTTCCGCCGAACATGCAAAGGGAGAGGGACACATCCTGAAGCTCGAAGTACCAATCAGCGAATGCGGGACAAGAATTGTCACGCGCAAATCGGCAGATCAACGCAGCGAGAGCGGCCCATGTCCATGCCCGCGCAGGGTTCTCGATGGTGACCAATGCGTTGACTTTCCAAGCAGCAAACAATGCCCGCACGCAAGTGCCATACACAGCGTTGGCAGCCTCGACCCGGAGACGTTCATGAGGCTTAAGATCAGGTAAACCCAAAGGGAACTTGGCCGATCGAAGCGGTCGAGGCTGTGGCACGCCCTGCGCCCGCAACGCAGAGCTGATGGGCAGCTGACGAGCGCGACTTCCAGTGCCACACGGCAGTCCAAAATGGAGCCAAAGGGGCCTGAGCTGATGAATCATATCGTCAATCAAGCGGTGCGAAGAAAGTGCGCCCAAATCGATGGGCAAGCACGACACTTTGGGCTCAAAACGGTTTCCATGATGATCAATAGGAAAAACCTGCCATCCTTGAGAGGCGGCAGCATGCGAAAGAGAGGCCGAGCCACAACACAGCTCGACGAAAATTGCAAAGGGAGCGGCGTCAGTAGTAGGCAGGCCGGAGCGGCCTAGTCAAGAGTGACGGCACTCGCAGTACGGCACTCCCTTCTTGAGGCAGTCCTTATGCCAGCAATTGTGCAAGCCGCGGTCGCATCGGGCTTTGGACTGATCAGGGCACTTGCCGTGTTGAAACAACACGCATAAGAACTGGCGAGTCTTGGGCATGCGCGAGACACAGTCCTTAGGCATCTCCTTCAGCAGCTGCAGGATCTCGGCACGCTTGGGGTCCACCTGAGCATCATCCCACTTGCGCTTCTGACCGCCTTTGTCGCCACGACCTTTGCCGCGACCACCACGGCCTTTGCCTTCGCGGTCACCTTTGCCATCGGCCTTGCCACCGCGATCGCCCTTGTCGCCTTTGCCTCCACCGGTGGCCTGCGGAAGGTTGGCCAAGCAAACATTGACACGAGTATGGGTCTGCAGGCGCTCGATGAAGACATCCAGGGGGGGTTTGACGCCCCCGATGACCTTAATGGAGCCACGACTTTCCTGAGCAAGAATCTGCCACAGCTCGCGGTCAGCGTTCAGAGCCTGGGCAATGCTGGTGAACTTGTGACCCGGTGGCGGGTCACGAGTCACTGAGTCAAACAGGTAAGTGTGCCACGCCTCCTGGGCAGCAAATGACATGAGGCCAATTTGGTCGAAGGCCAGCGCCCGTCGGGTGAAGGCCTCTCGAAGCTGAAGTTCTCCTCGAACGTCGCATTCCAGGTCGGAGTGTTTCTTCGATATCTTCAAGCCACCTTGAGCATCAAGTGTAACTTGTTGAGAAGGTTTGTCGCTGGAAATTTCCAACGCTCTTGATGGGCACTTATGCGGCGGTAGGTAGGTGAGCGTCCCGGAATCGACCATGGATTGGATTTTGTCGATGAGGCTGTGCGCCGGTTCCACCCGTTCGGTGAACACTATCCCGGTTAGCCGAGCCTTTTGATTCTGTAGGCGAGTCAAGCGCTCGGCCAAAGGAAGCTCTCGAGGCGGGTCAAGAGAAGAACGTTCCACCCGTGACTTGAGATCAGACAAGGCAAACGTGTTGGCCTCGAACCACAATCGTCGAAGATCAGGAAGCTCGCCCGGGGTGAGGTCACGAGACAAGAGCTTTTGTACCGCCTGAATGAGAGGGGTGTCATCGCCACTCTGCGGGCTGACGGCACAGATGTACGCCAGCTTTCCAAAGGTTTTGATCCCTGCGGCCTGAAGCGACTTGACGAAACCATCATCCATACCGATTTCTCGGGCTCTGGCCAAGAACTCGGCTTCCGACTCAAGCAGAGTGGAAGTCATGGCGTCCGTCCGAGGATCAGGCTTGAACAAAAACGTGTCACTCCAGGCGAAGGCTCACGACGGAGGCAACAAGCATGGCTAAAACACAGATGCGCTGCATCGATGTTTGCGTCTCTGCTCGACCTTTCCGTGTCTAAACCCCCAGGACTCGCGCCAATCTGCACTGTTCGCAGAAGATGTCCTCGCGCGGCTGCTGGGGGTCGAAATTGCACGCATCATAGTTGCTGTTCAAGGGTCTCCCGCATCTCAACAGTGAGGCTGGGACCATGACAGCGTGCACAATGGATGAGATCCGATGTCGGACGAAGGTGCCCGTCTCTGGCGGCTCAGGGCGATCAGACATCCCTGGCACCAGGCTGGGGCGCTCATCGATGCCGACGTGGTCTGCAAATGACACATCTGACTGTTCAGAATCATCAAACCTTTTCAGGTCTTCGACCCGACGATCCTCATCGTGGAATCGTTCCACAAGGTTCGCCATCCTTTCAGACCGGGACAGGTCTGGATCAAACCTCTCCGTACGGATTAGGTCAATCAGATGCTGGAGCTTCGACAAGACTGGGGCCATCACGTCTCTCCCGTATGTGATGATCATCCGCTCGTCGGGGGCGGAGTGGTGCCCCAGAATGCGCTTTTCATGCTTGTCAAATCGACCGCTCTTTGTGGCCCATGACAACGGAGTGGATTTCAAGGCATGGGTCGTGACTCTGTCGAGGTTCCAAGACTCATCGGCATCGACTGCGAGAATCTCTTGAAGCCACGCACACCCTTCCGCTGAAGTCATGGGCCTATCCAACCACATCTCGGCTTGCTCCGACCACGCTGGCATAAGGATGTTTTTGGCGTCAACTCCTGATCGGGTTCGCGCTGACATCCATGCTGAGGCCCACGGCTCCGAAGAGAAGGTGTGCCCAAGGGCAATGAGGGGCATGAAAGTGGCCCGATCGTCTGCAAGCTTGGCTGTTTTGTGACCCAACATAACAGCCTCCACAAGACACATAGCTCCGTGGCTCTCGATGGTGAGATCGGTAGCCTTGGCCGCATCGGACCATCGGGCAACCGAGAACAAGCAGAACAGTGCGAACCCCGCTATGGTAGCGTGTAAGTCCGACCCCTCGAAGACAATCACCTCCATTCTCATGACAATGGGAACCTTCAGAGGCGGCGCCTGTCTCAATGGAGCCTTCTTGAGATAGCAGGAGTGCGCGGCACCCTCAATTCGCTTCGAAATGATGTCAGGGACAGCGTTGCTGCCGGTCATGTAGTGAAAGAACCTCCATGACGAAATGAATGCAGCGGGCGCCGTGGGAGCACACTCAGCGTCTCGCAGATAACAAACATAGAGGTACAGGTCATTCTCAACAGCATTCAAAGGTCTAGCATGATTGTCCTGGACCTGCCAGCGGGAGAACCTCAAGTAATCACATGACCTCTTGGAAAGAGTACTCGTAGACTTCCTGGCAAAGGCATCCATGATGGTCATGGCAAGTTGGTGTTCAGGAACAAGCATTCCACTGGTCTCCAACAATGACCGCCCCAGCTTAGAGTCATTGGGATCGTACAGGACGATCTCCTTAATCCGGGCCAGTGCAGCCGAACGAAGCTGATCCTCCGACCTCGCCATCCTCGTGGCGAAAAGTCGTCTGGCTCTAAAGGGGTTTTCTTTGTACCAAGTTGGATCAGAACCTGAAGACGAAGACACCGCAATCTGAGCAAACATATCTGATCGCCCAATCGTGGGGAGATGGAATGGGATGGCCACGAGAGGATTCCCGACGCTCCCAAAAATTGATTTGCCAAAACCCGACTCCCAAGGGAGTCTGATCGAAGACTTCCTCTTCTCCTCAAAGAGAGCCTGTGCCACTGCCGGGTGCACAGGTGCAGGATCTTTCCAAGCGGTCCTCCTACACTTGCTCGCACTCGGCTGGCACGGCTCAGCCGAATCGTCGACCCTTGCATCCTGATACCAACGAGCCTCATCTGATGCCACCGGCTCCACATGCGACCATGACTCACTCCAAAATTAGACCCTACACCAAAGTCAGAGTTCCACGGTGAGCTCACATGATCCTTGCGATCGGAGTCGTCCTGATCGAACGGTTCCTCGTCATGGCCAAAGCCCTGTGAAGCATCAGGTCTACCAAACATGGCTGTGCTCGGACAAACTGCTAATCTGTGTCAGTTGCAACAGGCATCAGTCTGAGTCATCGCAACATGTCCCAACATGGAGAGCACAAGGATCACTCGGGACAGACCTTATTTTATATCGCTGGTTTGCCAGAAGATTCGCGGTCCTTCTTGGCCTTTCCTGTCCCCCGCATACAGTCAAGAAGACCGCGCAGAGGAGCAAAACGCGGGGAAGGCCTAAACCACAAAGAAGCCAGGGGACCGGGAAACAGAGGGGCATCCGGCACCTAGGGGCGTAACCTAAAGAAGCGCCTCAGACGAATATGAGTAGTGCGCGCGGCCGCCAGCAGTGCAATCCAGGCCTGCATGTCCAGGTACACAAGGGCCCAAGCGAAGCGGTAGCTGGCAGTGAAGGAGACCAGATGTCCTCGCGCGATAGCATTCCAGAAAGGTCGACGACAAGCTGCAAAGCGTCGCAACCGGACAATGTGGAAGAAGTAGGGGCGCACTCGCACAATGACAAATGCAGTCGGATCCCCAGAGCTGTCAGTCGGCAAAGAAGAACCCGAACCGGAAGTCGAAATGGAGTCATATGAAGATCCCCGAAGGCTGGAATCAGCCCGAGGCCGCGGCACATCCATCGGAGGCTGATCGCAAAAGGACAGCGCAGTTCTACAGAAAGCAGGATACTTCTTGATTTCATGAGCGTGACATGACATGAGTGTGAGAAATCTACCCCGACTCCGCGTCTCAGCCGAAGGCCGGCACGGGCAAGATAAAATTTGCATGCCACAAGGGGTCGGGCTAGGGGCCGCAAGCAGAACAAGGCATCCGCACGAAGCTAAGACGACTCTTGCCTGAACGTGTCGCGACTCCCAGAGCCAAGTCGATCACTCGGGGGGCATGAAGTGAACTCGCTGCATGCGGGAAGAACTCACGCAAGCACGGATTTGTTTTGAAGCTCGCTGATCAGCGGTGATCTGAAACACTGTGGCCTACAGAACTGAAGTGCTAGCACCTTCGAGGATCCAGCACGCCCACAAAGACTATGGCCGAAGCCTCAGGAGATCCGTCGGAAGAAACCAGGAGGCCACCGAAGGAAACCATCACGATCCACGGCTGCAAGAGGCAACCAGCTCAATCTCGGGGCACAAAAGCAATTAGGCATCACGCTGACGGCGCAAAGAAGCAGCAAAGCGGCGAGTGTTCTGCTAAGGAAAACCGTTACCCTAGACAAAATCCTAAACCCTAAACCCGAGAACGGAAAATGAATGCAATCCGAACTCGGTTCACTCATTTTCGATGGGATCGCAAAGATCGGCTGTGCAAGCATACAAACGGGTTGACCCGAGGATGCCTTCTGTGGGGTGGCGACTGTTGCACCACCCCACGGACAAAAGAACTACGAGTGAAGCTACAACACTTGAGTGACAGCTTCAGACTAAGGGAGCGACCAGAAGGGTCCTCCGGGACTGAGCAGTCCACGCTAGAGCAGAGGCTACAAGCAAGAGGTGACCTGCAGACTACGGCGGTGAAACGCATTGGGGCCAATGGCGGGCCCAGCAGGGAGCACCGAACGACATGGTGCGGCAGCTGCGCGCTGCCGTGTGCAGCATTAGAAGAAGCAATGGTAATGTGAAGGCAGCAGCCTGCGCAAGCACATTGCCCGTGGCAGGATGCCAGGGGCAAAGCACAAAGTGAGAGTGAAGGTGCAAGGAAGGATAGCACGTTCGGTAAAGGCCGGGCCTAGCGAGGCCGGCGTGCACGCAAGCGAAACCAGGGCGGGTCGAATGAAAATTTAAAATTCCGAAGCGACTTCGCTGCAACTTGATCCAAAGCGGAGTGCGGATGCACAGAGCTTCACGACATGTACCGAGGCAAGAAGATGCAGGCACTGGCAAAAGCGAATAAAGGAAAACTTTCCAGTTTTACCAAAAGAAAGGAAACCGTTTTTCCATTTGCAAAACACCAGTGGACAAGTCCACCCGTACGTTCTGCTAAGGAAAACCGTTACCCTAGACAAAATCCTAAACCCTAAACCCGAGAACGGAAAATGAATGCAATCCGAACTCGGTTCACTCATTTTCGATGGGATCGCAAAGATCGGCTGTGCAAGCATACAAACGGGTTGACCCGAGGATGCCTTCTGTGGGGTGGCGACTGTTGCACCAAGGTAGTTTGCCACCCCACAGCACGCTCAAGAAAGCCAAGGAAGTGTGGGCTGAAGGGGGTGGCAGATTTCAGCGAAGCCAAGGAAGGGTGAAGCTGGAAGGGAAAATCTGCACCTCAGGACAAGGCTCCCAGAGAGCAGAGAGCCCAAAGCGTATGCGCTGGCATGGAAGGCAGTCTGGAGGTGTGGGGTACTCAGCCGGCCGGCTAAGTGCGTCGGCTTTGCAGTTCTTGGCACCTGGGACATGAGACACATCGATAGAGATGCGATGCATGGCCGCCAGGAGGGCGATGTGTTCAAGAACGAGGCCTAGGGGAAATTTGGTGGAAAACATCTTATTCAGACCTGCCTCCGCCCCTGAGTTATCGCAGAGGGACGGGAGGCGTAAAGGAACCCTGCTGCAAGGAGCCAGCCTAGAGAGAGCAAGAATCAGCCCCGCCTGAGCCAGGGCTTCACAACTGGCTATCTCCTTAGCCAGGTCATTGCCGAAGGGAATGCCTGCTGCTTCAAATTCCTGGACTGAAAAGGTTTCAGTGGACCAAACCTGGCCTAGAACCGGACAAGAAACAAAACCCCCCAAACTGCAAGATGGGCCGGACGCCGATGCATCGGCAAAGGCCTCAACGTCTGCAACCTGAGATGGGCGCATGCTGGCGAGTGGTGCCACGTGTTGCAACCAACGCTCGAAGGCCTGCAACGAGCGGATGGAGGCACAGGAGAGTTTCCGCCTCGAGCTGCTAAGGCATTCAACGCGGAGCCACAATCTTTTGTGCGTCACGGCGACTTTGGACAAGTCTGCAAGGGTTGTGAAAGGCACATGACGAGCCGAGAGGAGCTTAGCACCCGCGGGGATGGCAGTGTGAGGAGGTGAGGCCTTAAACCTGAGTGAAGAATCAAGGAAATTACAGATGCTATGCCACGATTCCGGAGCAATGCTGAAGTTAGTGGCAGCCGGAGACCAAAGGTCTTTGTAGAAAGGGTGCATCATGGCACGCATAGTGGGGAAGAGTGCACAGGCCCACATGGCAAGGCCCAGAAAGGATTCCAGTTCCTTGGTAGAGATACGGCCCCCGCCCCTCAGAAGGGAACGCACTTGTTCAAGGAGCCGCAAGCGTTTTTCTTCCCTGAGACTAACCGTACCCGAAGAGAAGCACAACCGCCATCCAATCCAATCGACCCGGCAAGAAGTTTGTAATTTTTTCCAACTGACTGGAACACCCAGGATCTGAAGAAAGAGGCATATCACAGCTCCCGAGAGCGGCATGAGGCTGGCCGCTTGGCTGAAAATGAAGTCGTCCACGAAAAGGAGGCCCACATGGGCCAGGAACAGCAGGGTATGTAACAGGCGCAAAGTGCACCCTCCCACGCGACCCCACCAATGCTGTGAGAAAACTGCTCCGAATGGGCAGCAGCGAAAAAAGTATAGCGCGTTGTGCCAAGTGAAGCCGAGCAGGCCCTGCTCGGAGTCGCGGATGCGGCAGCGCTTGTGCGCCTGCTTGACATCAATGCAAATGGCCATCTGGCGGTCGGAAGTCTCGCGAATCGGGAAAGAATGCGAAACATCGTGTATGCTCGGGAAACATTGACGTTCCGGCACTGTGCACTGAGAATTGGTCCCAGCTACGCTGTTGTCCAACACGAGTCGTTCGGCCCTCCCCGGAGCCCTAACAACCCCCAATTTTCCCAGTGCTAGGCCAACGGGCCATCTACTTTTCGCCTCCTCAAGTGTGCCTTCAAACTTAAAGCAGTATCCCGCGTCCAACTCCTCTTGGAGCAAGCGCGAAGTGACCTCAGGAGCCACATCGGCCGACTTCCAGTTTTCAAGATTGAGCGCCAATGGAATCAGCTCCCCTGATTGGCCTTTGGGAGGCCAGAAACAGTTGGAAGGGGGGATGTCATTCAAGTACCCGGTTGGCACACCCATACGCAAATGCGGAAACAAATGAATGTCCTGATCGCCACAATGTTGTGCCAGGGCTTCAAACGCGTGCAAGCACATGGGTTGGTATGGATGCACATACCAAGCGTTATCCGGGGTCTGCATACCCAGCGAAGGAAACACCAGATCCCTGGCTGCGGACACTTCGGAAGAGCTGAAAAGCGGTTCATTCGACGGGCAGGAACCGCGAGCAAGCAAGCGTTTGTCGGCTCGAGCTGAGATGCAGAATTGCAGCAGGGCTTTGCGTAATCCCCGAAATGCATCATGGCTTGCAGGGCTGCTCCAATCGGCAATGGAGCGTTTTCCAGCACCATCATGAAGTGCATGTGGGCCTGCGAAAAGGCCTTTGCGTGGGATAGACTTGATGACTGACTGCAGGGATAGCTCGCGGCCCTCTGCCGGGAGCAGAGGGGCAGCGATCGTGGCAAACGAAGATGCAAATGCACTTGCGCATTGCGGGGGAGCGAAGGCGGGCGAGCTGACCGCCAGGGCGGAAAGCGGGCGGTAAGAAGCAGCCAAAAGCTGGGGCTGGCACGGAATAGCTGAGTCTGAGTACAGTAATGGGGGTATCAAGATCAGAGCACAGTTTCCCTGATGCAGCCAGGCCTGGGGCCGCTCAGACGACCAGTAAGAAGAAGTGGGGGGCAATTCCAAATGCCCTTGACCCCCTGCAGTGTGTACAATGCTGAGGAGCCAGGTGCAACGGGAAACCTTTGCCGCCGCCGTTTGCTCGTGCATTGCCGATAGCAGCCACGAGGAGGAACCCACGTCGTCAGGCGAGTCTGCTGACTCGGCTAGTGGCGATGCTGCAAGATACGGTGATTCCCAGCAAGCCAGCCCACCAATCCCACCCAGGGACAAATGTCCCTCAAATTGAATCAATCCACCAATATAGATTGGCAAGATAAAAATGGATTATGTCCAAAATCTGACTCCAATATAAGTTGCGAAATTATCAAGGAGTATAACCAAGCTGCGAACAGACAGAGACACGATGTTTTGACCTCGTCTCGAGGAGATGCGTGCGATGGCCCATGGGGCATCCAACCTTTGTCGGATGCACAGCCGATGCGAACCGCAACGACTGATCCCCCACAGACGAAATTTCAGGGATTCGGGCGGGCGGGACTTCAGAAATTTCTACGACCTGGTACCAGGTCTAAGCCGGCCGGCGCGGGAGCCAAGATTTCACAACCAGTGAAAAACCGAACGCGCGGCCTGCAAATCGACAAAGGAAAAACTTTCTCGAAAAGAAAACAATTGAATAAAAGGGCCGAAATCATAAAGGCAGATTTCAGCCAAAGTGGCTAGCAAAATAAATCACACTTTGATGGACGAGTCCACCCCGCGTGATTCCCAGCAAGCCAGCCCACCAATCCCACCCAGGGACAAATGTCCCTCAAATTGAATCAATCCACCAATATAGATTGGCAAGATAAAAATGGATTATGTCCAAAATCTGACTCCAATATAAGTTGCGAAATTATCAAGGAGTATAACCAAGCTGCGAACAGACAGAGACACGATGTTTTGACCTCGTCTCGAGGAGATGCGTGCGATGGCCCATGGGGCATCCAACCTTTGTCGGATGCACAGCCGATGCGAACCGCAACGACTGATCCCCAAGCAACGCTGACGGGAGCAAGGCTATGCCCACGGGTCTGTGTCTCGAAGCCTCTCGCCTTTCTTGAGCTTTGCAGCCCTTTTCCCTCGCAACTTCTCTTTGTACTCCTTGATATCGCCATAAAGCTCCGCTCCAGCATCCATGAGATCACCCAGGATGATGGATTTGTAATTCGTGAAATCAAAGCGAAGCCGCAATTCAGGAGCAAAGGAATCATACTGCTGATTAGTCAGAGCATCAGCAAGGGCGTTTTGTAAACGCGGTGCCCAATGGAGCTCAAGACGTAGCGACTTCTGCTGAAGAATCGCAGCCAATTCCATAAGCACCGTATTCAATGGGAATGATGTTGTCATCCACCGTGCCGTGATGAAAGCATTGCCCCTGTTATCTGTCCCTGCCGAGCAATGATTGACACTCTGAGTGCCTTTGTCCGGCTCGAAGAGAAGAACCGCGATGAGCGTTGCCAACATCTCGAGCGCCCCAATGGAGCGGTAGGACTGTCCTGCCATGAAGAACAGCGGAAATTTAAGGTGATCGATTTTCTCCGAGAACCATCTGCAGCAGCGGGGATTCGCATCATCCGCGCAACACCATCCACCTACCCAAAGCTCGGAGCCCTGGGCTTTTGCATCCGTCCGGAAATGTTCTTTGGGCGCCGCGGCATGTCTAGGCACTTGTACGCGTCGAAGGCCTTGTTCCAATGCCCTCTGTAGAAACAGCAGTACCAACGACACAGCCTTTGGCAACCTGAGAGTGTGACAAGCCTGAACCGCCGCTGCCCAAGAGTAAATCGGCCCCAGGAAGGGTTTAAGCAAGGGGATAACCGAAAAGGCAAACGAAAGCCGGCCAAGAACCGACCTAAGATCCCCCACCCGAACCAAACCATCGGACCTTGTCTTGCGAATCCAACCGATCACCCAGTCGGCTCTATTCAAGGATATCCCGACCGTCCGCTGGGCCACACAAAGTGAATAGCCGATCCAAGTGTGCTCCCCGCCTCCAGAAAACTTGTGCCAGGCAAAAGGAACTCCCAATACCGAAAGCAGCAGAATGGAGGCAAGTATACGAAGAAGGCCATCCGAAGACTGGGTTATCCACAGTAAGTCGTCGACATAAGAGAGAAGCGTCGTCTCATCCTTGCCGTGGCAGTAATACAGTAGACGACCCAGACCAGACATGAGACGGAACCACCAGTAACTCGCAGAAGAAACTCCGAAAGTCCCCACTGTATTGAGGTATATGTCACCATGCCGGCGCGCCCGGCAGCCTTGCCGTGGCCAGTCAGCTTCCCGCACTTTCGACAACCTGTGTGCACGGGTTACATCACCACTGAGGCTGAAGGTGGCGAAAGGCAGGGAATGTAGGGCTTCCTCGAGGTCCGCTCCCGAGGGATAAGACTGGCCGTCCCTGACACGAATAGAATCATTGACGTGTTGGCCGTGAGTGGCGTCGTGCACCACCCGCACGGAATCATCCCCTTTGGGGATGCAGCCCAACGAAGCCACGTTCAGTTGATCACCGAACCGATCACGTGCCTCGCCCAAGCTCATCTTCACCATAGCACCCATGGCAATTTCTTTCTCAAACTGTTGCTCAACCTTGGCCTCGTAGCCTTCCACAGATTTATAATTGTCCCGGAGCTCCTCGCATTCGTGTGCACCCAGACCAGTAAAGTCCCGATGGCGACGCTTACGTTCAAAGAGAGCGGGGTTCCGGGGCATACGGAAGTTCACTCCGAGCGGAACACCATTTGCAAAGGAATGCGTAGCCTCGGTATATTGCCTCCAGTCAGGATCCCCAGCAAATTTCAACATCTCGGAGATTGCATGCAAGAAAAAGGGCTGTCTCTCCGGCACTGATTCTAGAGGAGCGATAGAGCCCCGTTCACGAATCGTCTTGAAGACTAGTGACCTTGCCTGCTCCAAGAATGTGGCCGGAAAGGGAGAAGACGTACACTTGCCCGTAGCCAAGAAACAAACCACCCTCTTGTAGTCCAGATTTTCAGTAATGAGCAAGAGCAACCGATCCATCAAGACCTTGTGGAAGCTGAGCTCCGGCACCAGATCCGCGCATGGACGCGCATGTGGCGGCCATCTCCCCGGCGAAGCCAGACCATGCCCATCGGAGAAAAGCTTGACCTTCCCCGCTGCTTTGGTCGTCATAGCCGCCCCATATCCAAGCCGCCCAGCACCCCTCTTTGGTTTTACGATGCCATCTTCATCCTCTTCGGAAGTCGAGCCCTCTGGATCCTGTACCCAATGACTCTTAGAGGCCGACGGGCGCCACCATTCCAGAGGCCCATCGTCGTTCAGGTTTGCCTCATCAGCCGCCCGTTTCCAGCCTGGCAGTCCGGTGGTGGCAGATGAAAAAGGAGCTGGGCCAGGGCCGTCCTTCGTAGACGAAGGTCCAGCGGCAGATGCCGAAGAAGAAAGGTCAGCATCCGCATCCTTAGCCGCATGTTTAAGTCCCGAAAATCCCGCAACCGATGAGGCATGGCTCGCGTCCTTAGCAGCATGCTTGACTCCGGCAGCCAATGCCGGAGAAGAACCAGAAGAAGGATCCTCGACCACTTCGCCCGTAGCGACCACGTCCCCCAAGGAACCCGACGAAGAAGAAGGAGTCGAGGCCAGTAAAGACTGTGCGAGGGCCCGGCAGAGTCCTTCACCATATGCAGCGGTGGGTGTGGTTCGGAATTTGCCTGAAGCATCTTTTCCCACCAGTGGTTCATGTTGATGCCCGCATTTCTTTGGTAAAGGCCCCACGTAACGACGAGCATCGAAGCGAGGCCAGCCTGAGAACCCGAGAGCCGGAAGGTTTGCCCATGTGCCCGTGAGCCTCGTAGGTTTGCGAAAATCAGACCCAAAAGCGCACTGATAAAGAGCCACTGTAGACGCCTGGACTCGTTCAAAGAGGGAGCGGGACTCCAGCCAACTCCAGACAGATGCCGGAGTACCTCGAGGCGTAGGTCCGAGATCCTCCGGATGTTCCCACAACCAGTGCAGCTTGAGTTCATGTGCCATGGTCACCACTTGAAGACAGCGTCGTATGAGCTCGGTGCCCTGCTGAACCTTGATTTTATCAGCTCCCTTTAACCAAGGAAACCCTTCAGGCCAGTCGGCGCTGCGCAACGGTGCAGGGCCATGACCATTGGCCCACGGTGCGCGCGAGTAGGTTTCGCACGGTGGGCTCAGAAAAATGTGTGTAAAGTCACCGTTCTTGATCCTCCTTAGGAGGGACAACCAAGTATCATCAGCCAGGAGATCATGCCCCCGAACCAGATCAAATTCTTCCACTGTCACTGAAACCGATGCAGACTGTGCCAACTCATGCAATGCAGAACTGAGATCGCCTTTGCGAGGAGCGCCTGCAAACAAATACAACAGCCGATAAGTGGCAAAATGCCCTGTGCGCGTGGCCGCTGTCGAATTCGATTCGTCCATTGAGGCCGAAAGTCAGTCAGTGGCCGGCGGTGGTGTCACCACCGCCCCGGCCTGCCGCTTGACGTGCTTGCATGAAAAATAAGGATGTTTGCCTTGGCATCTCTGACAAATGTGAAGGAAGCGACATGCTTGATCTTGACAACCGCCGCGGCGATTGTATTTCCAGCATATCGGCGTACCATCCGTGGCTTTGGTGAGTTTGCCTCGTGCAATGTTCTGACCGTCGGAAGTAGGTTGCTTGCCTTTGCCCTTTCCTTTGCGGGGCCTGCCTGGTGTATCACCAGGAAGCTGAGGAGGCGGCACGTTCGCTGCAGCCCAGCCGGTGTCTTTGGTGTTAAGGGAAAACGGAATGACAAAGTAGCGATTGATCAACTCTACATCCGAGATGGCCTTGTCGTAACCATCTGCCAGAGTCGCGACCTTGCCATCACGCAGCCATTTGCAGACAGCTTTCCTGCACTCGTGTTCGAAAGCCAGCACAAGACTCCAAGGCGGGGTACGATTTCCCGCCACAAGGCCAGCCACCTGGGTACCTAGAATAAAATCCGAAAAGCGGCGCAGGCTGTCCGTCATGTTCGGAGAAAGCCATGCCCGATTGGAATGTTTAGTAGCCAACATATCCCAAGATAGGCCGATTCGCCTGTGGCGCAAGCGCAGCTCTTCGGGAGTAGAAGGTGCGGCCACGCTGTGCTTTCCACTTTTAATCTTGAGAGTGTTGGTGACAGGATCAATCTTTGCTTCGAAGGATTCTGTTTCCGCGTCTTCCACAGACGCCACCTCGGTCAGCATTTCCACGATTGGCATGTTAGATTCAATCATTTCGAGCTTCGCCGCCAGAACCTGTTTTGCAGGCACTTCACGATCCTTGAGTGAACCCAGGACACTCTCCACGGCCATGCGCATGGCCTGATGCTCTGTTGGCTGAAGCAGCCTTTGCTGAGTGCCCAGGCGAGCCTCGGCACGATTGCGCTGGGTTGCCTCAGTCTGGAGTTTGGCAGCCTCCCAGGCGACCAAGAGCTTGGCCATTTCAAGCCGGTTTGCAGCTGAGGCCTCGACATCGATGGGAATCAGTGCCGCTAATGCCTCGCGTGCCTTGGCCCTGGTCTCGTCAAGACCCGCGAAAAGAGGCACCGAAACCACATCCAGATGTCCTAGTTGCGCTTGGCTCGGAAGAGACACCCCGGCCTCCTGCAGAATGAAAAGGAGATCTGAAGAAAGCTTCGCCAGATCCGCAGTTTGAGCTGCACTCAGCCCAGCCATGGAATCGCGAGACAGAAGAAGCCTAGAAAGGACCTAGCAGAAAATTTGAAATGAAGAACACATTGCAAAGCGCACACCGCACCCGTCCGACTAGCCAAAGCCGGAACACGATGAGCTAACATGCAATGCCCTATGACGATACCCGCGGTTCTCCAGAGCCGCAATCGTCAATACACACCAAGGTCACAAACACAAGGTGTGATCCAAACGCATGCTGGCCCACATGCAGCGAAACACGGATGTGGTCTCGCATTCTCACCTTTGTTCCCCTCAACTAGAAGACTCGCTCGAGCTCGAGTCCGTGCTCGACGACATCGAAGACGCCTCCTCTTCGGGAGGCTCCTTCTCCGATGGGAAACAGTGACGACACTCCGAGTCGAACTGCACATCTTTCAACGACTCGTAATACTCTACACACTGCACCTTCGCCGGCTGCGTCCCGCAACCCGCCTTACGGTGCAGCCTCCTGAGCCTTCGCTTGCCCAACACGGTCACATAAAAGGCAAAGTTGGGCTCAGACGGCCCCGACACTGGCCTCGGAAGATCGGCCTGCTGAGGAGGCGAGGAAACGAGCTCACCTCTTCTCCACGCAGCCCACTCTGACGGCATGGCCCAGGAGCTTTGTAGGAGCTCACGATTTTCTTTGGACGCCCCTCTCTCCTGCAACCTCAGGTCGAGCGCATCCAGACCGAAATCAACAAGCTCACTCGAAGCCTGGCACAAGGTCACGACGATCTGCCTTTGAAGGCCCGTCACGACCTGCCACGCCGTCCTGACATACTCATCTCCAGACTCCACGACATGCCATCGGCCCAAGTAGGCCCGGCGCTCCCGGTCAACCCCGGCCGCCGATGCCACTGAGGAGGTGAAGTTTCTCTCGCTGTGCTCGCTCAAAAGCGTCAGCCAATCAACATCAAAGAAAAGATTGTGCTCTGATGCATGCCACTTGCCCTCTCTGAGAATCGGAACCTTAAGCATTGTACCCAAGTGCTTGGCCAGTGTCGCCTGATCCGAATACGAAGCCATCACCGGCCTGCAAGAAGTGTAATTCATGGCAGGCCTCGGTACGAGGTAATCCCTTTCAAAGGAAAACCCATCAGAAGCCCAGATACGGTAGCCCACCATGAGCCACTCGGGCTCGATAATCCAGGCATGCACTGATATAAAAAATGGGAGCCAACGCACCTTGCGGCCTGCCCCCGATGTTTTGGTCCTATCAAAAACTCCCCTCAGGCCCTGCACGCCCAAGTGCATGTTGTTCGGCAGCACCCCCAATAAGTCATCTGTTCGACTGGACGTCCATACCTTGAAGAGGCGTGTCCATGCAAAAGCCCTCCAGTAGCGAGGTAAATGCACATCCATGACAGCAAGCTCCAAAGACGCAATCATGACCAAAGGCACTGGGGGTGCCCGACGTGTCTCCGGGGCTCCCTGTTCCAACTCTGCAGTGCGTGTGTCCACTGTATTCAGTACAACCCGAGATAAAGACAGCCTGGCATCAGGATGCACGGCGCCGGCCTTCTCCACGAGGGCCACAGCTGAAAGAACGCTCTTTAGTTTAGTACGCGCACACGGTTGCATGTAAAGTTCTTCCAAATAGTCGACCAACACAGCCGGCTCGGCATCGTAAAAGACGCCCTTCAACGCATAAAACCAAGCAGCAAAACGAATCCACTCCCGAATCCTCTGGCGAAGAGTGGAAGCTCTGGTGTTGCCCGCTGCAGTTTCAAGAATACGATCGGTGTTTGTCAAGTAAAGCGCTTGCGAGCAAATTGGAAATTTCCCTTGCTTCAACACTTCTGCCAGCTTGCGCCTCCATCTCTGAAGCTCTTCGGCCTCAGCCTGTGCTCGTCCGCCCTCGTTCCTGGCCAGCGCTCGTTTCTTGGCCAGCCGACAAGGCCAATGTAGTTGCCTCTTGACTGCCGCAGAAGATATTAAAGACTCACGTGTCATTTGCACCGCCGCAGGCACTTGCACTTGCATTCCAGAGGAGACTGCATGGTGAGCCCCCAGCAAAACCGATTTGTTCCTGGACGCCAGAGCAGCTTTAAGTTCAGCACCTTTCCAAAGTTCAACCAGCACTCCGCTGTAGCGATACCACTCCACAGATCCTGCCACGAAACCTGCAGACTCCATGAAATCTCCTATCTCATCCTCGGACAGAAACATGTTCCACAGCAGAGCATCCGAAATTTGCTGACCGTTCGCAGAAAGCTGGCGCCTTATCAAAGCCGGCAGAGCGTCCCAGCCAGAAGCTTCCTCAGCCTGATCTAGATCTTCGCTCTGCAGCACCTCATCTGGAATTTCATCCAGAGCTTCAGCCATGGCGGCCCGCCCCTACGACTGGAACATATGTCCAGTTCGCCCGAAGGTCTCCGGCCCCCACTTCAGAAATTTCTACGACCTGGTACCAGGTCTAAGCCGGCCGGCGCGGGAGCCAAGATTTCACAACCAGTGAAAAACCGAACGCGCGGCCTGCAAATCGACAAAGGAAAAACTTTCTCGAAAAGAAAACAATTGAATAAAAGGGCCGAAATCATAAAGGCAGATTTCAGCCAAAGTGGCTAGCAAAATAAATCACACTTTGATGGACGAGTCCACCCCGCCGACCGCTCCCGAGCCGCAAAGGAAGAGGACCTGCTCGAGGAGGTCTGGGCAAAGGACATCCAGGGTCGGGTCAAGGCTGGGGCTTAGGGTGAGGGAGTTTCCACCTGAAGCACGGACAGCCATGCTAAGTTGATGGCGCGAGTGATTGTTCCATGTGATCTCGAGAAAAAGACGCGCCGGGAGGGAAGAAATGCAAGTATCAGCTCGCCAAGCGCCCTCCGGTGGTGACAAGGGGCGTGCAACCCTAAGCTTGTGGGAGAGAAACAAACCTAACGTGGAGCGTTTTCCCCACAGTTTGCATCCCAGTGGCAGCTTAGACGATGCCGAATTGGAATGGACTGTATGTTCCCTGCACGACTGAGGTTCGTGCTGCTTAGTAGTCGAGACGGCTTCCGGTACTCCGGGCATTGGCTGTGCTGAAGGGAGATGTTGCGCAGGAGGAACATCTGCGGACGCCTCGGAGGCTGACCCAGGGTTGCCACTGGATGGAAACTCCTCCTGAATGTGCGTCCCTGCTAGTAAGTGCGATGAAGTGATGTCTGCTTCCTCGAGCCCCGCGGGCGAGGTGGGGGAGGCAGAGGGACTAGGGGCAGGACTAGAACCCAAGAGGGGAGACGGCAGTGGGAAACCCAGAAACTCAAGTTCGGCACAACACACGTCAGGCAGGGAAAAGGCTGTGAGGGCCCAACGCTCTCCTGAGAAAGGAAGTGTCATGTGTCTAATGCGGCCATCGAAGCTAATGGCTTTGCGATGTGTGTCGATAGCACAGCCATGCAGCCAGCCCGAGCCAGATGCAACTGATGTCGGCTGGCCTTGCGAGAGGCAGGAGAGGTCCTCAATCCACAGATGGCCACCCGAGAAGGCGCCCAGCGAGAGTGACAAATTGCGTGAGCCAGGAATGTTCGCTGAGTCGGAATGCAGCGCACTGAGGCCATTGCGCGAGACACACAAAGCGTTCCAGCGCTCGTTTGGAAAGAGGAACCTGAATAGGGCATTCAGGTCCCTGCAAAGCTCAGGCAGGGCGATGGTGACCTGAGTAAGTGAAGAACGCCTAGAAAGCTGAACCCCGAAATTAAAATAGCCTGAAGCAGAAGAGGCACCGGAAATGATGTGAGCACGGCGAACCTGTTGGGGCCAAGGGGCTTCCCGCAATGAGCACAAAATGCAATCGAAGAGGCCTGCCAAGGCCGGCCCACAGAAATTGGAAAATTCAAGTGCGTGACCCAAAGGGGCGGTACCGCTGGCGGGCGGAATCGGCTCAATGGGAGTGCTTGAAGTGCATGTGGAGGGGGCAACGTCCCCCGAAGGCACTGAACCAGTATGATGCACGGAGGGTACGGCCTCCTGAGGCGGTGACACAGAAACTGAACAATCGGCAGAGAGGGGTTGTGGCGGCAGTGGCGGAAAGCTGAAGTCCAAAACTTGCGAGCCCCGGGGGGCTTGCTGTTGCGATGGTGGAATCGGCGGTGGCAGTGGCGGGGGAGCAGGCAGCTCCCCCCAGCTGTGGATGGACCCGGCAACACCTGTGGGTGGCGAGTCGGGCGCATGATGTCACTTCTCAGGGTGCTGAGGCGCACCGTGGTCCTTGCTAAGGCAGGGTGAACCATCGGGCTTGGGGAAGGCGCAGCCGTGCGTGAACTCGCAGGAGTTGCCACGCTGGCATTTCCCGATCTGCCACCCAATGCACAATTTTTTCACCTGGCCGCCCTCCTTGTACTCGCGAACCCACGGAACGCCCCTAGGCTGGGTGCCTTGCTTGGTGGGGCTCTTGGCTTTCCCCTTGCCCTTGCCATTGCCACGACCTGGCGGTGGGGTGGGCGGGCGGTTGTCACGGCCGCCCGGTGTATACGGCCTACGATTGCCTGCAGAGGCAGCTTTGGCGCGGGGCTGCAGCCATGACGACATATCGCCGCGGATCTCCGTGAACTCGTAGATCGCATCATTCACCTGCCATTCTTTCTCGATCACAAGCTGAAAGATGCACGACCACAAGTGTTTGTCCGCCTGCTGAGCTTCCAGCACAGAGGGGGGCCGAAGGTTTGTTTCAGGCGGGAATTTTTGCGAAACCAGGCTCAAGAACTTAGAGGTGTAAGCTTTGAGGCGCGCAAGATGCGCGGTGCCTGCAAGAGCGAGGGCATTGTCATGCACCTCCAACAGCCTACGGATCATTGAAATCCCCATGGTGGAATCATTGATATCAATCTGTGGCGGTTCATCAAGCAACAGGTCCGAAAGCTGAAGGGTCTCAATCCTGGCCCTTTTTGCGGGCTTCTGCATGAGGGAATCCTCATACATCTGTTGTGTCATGCGACTCTTCCACGGGATCCAAGACCAGTTCTTCTTAACCTCGGCGTCGACAGCAGTGCTCAAGAGGCGGAGCGAGGGGGTATTCATAGCCGTCAAGATTTCGGATGGGAAGGCTTCCAAGAAACGTTTTTTGAGCGTGGCCACCCGCGTTGCATCAAGCTTGGGGGCGAAGGCTTCCGACCATCCCGAGCCTTGCTTGGCCGGGGATCCCAGCGGTTCTGCAGGAGCAGGCTCGTTACTACCGCGTCGCTGCAGCGACGACCAGACGGCTCGCAGCTTGGCACGCTGCATCAAGGACACTTCAGTGTCCGGGAACATCTCAGGGAGGACCCCCGCAAGCTCAGATTCCTGGCAGACAACATGGCGAAAAGATTTCGCATCCCAACCGTCGGCGAGCAGCCGATCCGTGAGCTCCTGGCTGATGCCGTGATCCTGAAGGAGCTGATTGAAGCTTGAGGCTCCCTCTGCTTTAAGCGGGCACGGTGAAGGATTCACCAGATTGAATGATCCATCCGCGGATTTAGCATCGAACAATTCATCTGCCATGGTGCGAGAGCAGCGGTCGGCAAAAACTACCGTTCGGGCCTGAAGCGGCTGATCGAGGGCAGACCCGTGTCCTGGCAGGCTCAATGCAAAGAAAATGGAATGCATGAAGAAAACATGTGCAAGCAGAATGCGAGCGCATACCGATACAAGACAAAGGCAGCAAACTGCACTTTTACTAAGCTTCCAGAGCAGCGAATGCATTGACACAGGCATTTCGCCTGCAGAGAACATGTTTGGAACTAAGAGAGTGGACCGACTGCCAACGTGGGCCCGACATACCGATGCCACAAAGTGTCCTCTCACCTGACGGGCATGCGGCGTGCACAACGCCTGTTGCGGCGACCATGTGCACCTCATCTGGGGGGCCGAGCGACGCGGGCCCTGCCTCGGACTCAAGACTTGACTCAGATCCAGCCTCCGATGCGGAGTCGGGCAAGGAGGGCTCGGCAGCCTTGGTGCTGGCCTCTGCAGCAGGTGTTTCCGCAGCACATGCCGAAGATTGACCGGGAACCCAGGGGAGCGACCCGGGGACACCAACATCGAAGGAAAAGAAACCCCACGGTGCAGGATCGATCTCTTTGCTGAAGGCTTCCAAAGTAAAAGGGATCGGTGCCATAGGCAGCTGTGCTCCACGGTGCAATGGCGTCCTTGGGCGAAAATCCGCCAAGACAGCAGACCTCAATTGTGTCTGAGCGCGGAGCGCCCCTAGCACGTCATCTCTGCTGTAGAGCTCCCTGCTACTCCCCCTATGATGTCCTTGTGCGTCCCTGTCTGGGCCGCGGATGTCCGGCACCTCAAGCATATAACTTAAGAGGCTACACTTCATGGAGTGCACCGTATAGTTAGATACGGGCACCTCGGGTGGAGACACCATCCAAGGAAACTGCAAGTAATAGCGCAACCAGCGCAAGCATGAAGGGTAACTCATCGGCTCCAGGGGCCGGAGCAACTCGGCGTCATCGTCCAGTGCCGGAAACAGAAAGCTAGGAGCCACCCCAAAGTCGCGCACCTCCTGCGAAGCGATGGAATCAAGAACCCGGAGCCACCTAGCCACCCAGGAGTGTGTGCCATGATGCAAGAAGCCTTGAGTGATTAGGCCGAAGGGTTGGCCCTGATGCGAAGTTTTCGTCTGGTATGCAATGGCCCGAAGCGAAACCACGTCGAAAGCAAATGAGCTCCATTCGATGCGCTGGCTGTCAGCAAAGCGAAGACTCGCCCAACATGTGACCAAAAAAGCACCGAGCAGTACTATGTCCCGCACTGGGGTGGAGCGCTGAAGGATGCGCCGTTCCCACTGCACAAGAGCATACAGCGGCAGGGGTAGGCTCTCCCTGCGGTCCTTAGGCAATTTGGTCTTCAAGAAGGATGAAATCAGCTCGCCATAGAAAACCTCAAACACAATGCACTGGGTGTTCTTGCAAACCCACCGTACGGCCTTGATGCAAGTGATTGCCGACGATCCGACAGTCGGATCCTCCTGTCTTTGAAGCTGCAAAGTGACCAAGATGTCGGCCGCTTGCACTGCAGTAATCTCAAGAAGACACACATCCAAGTCCTCACAAGCTTTAGCAAAGGAGTTAAAGGTAGTGATGTACCTGATGACAGTCGTTGCGGCAAAACCTGCAAGTACACGGCGCACGTGTGCATCGAAATGCACTGCTGATTGGATGGCGGAGAAAAAGCTAGATTCAGACCCCAAGAAGGCAAGAAGCTGCAGCATGAGGTTCACAGCAATCTGAGAGCAGGCCGCTGAGTGTGCACGAATGGCCTGCATCCCGCGACCATCCTGCTTGCTGGCTCGCGGGCGCTTGTTCGATACCGACACCACCATTCCTTGCGGATTGGGCAATGGAGGTGCAGCCTGAAGCTCAGGCAAGGCTTGAAACGGCGGTGTGAAAGGGGCTGCGCGGGCCGGCAGTGCCGGGGGCCTCAAATGCACGTGCCGATTCACAGGTGGGCAGGGAATGCCCGACTCGGGGAGGGGCGGTGCGGACCTAAACCGAAGATACCCGAAGGAGGGAGGGGGACTAGGCCTAGAGCCAACCCCAGGCAGTCTACGATCAGCATATGGGCCACCACGTGGCCCGCCCAAGCGAGACCTGTCATCAGGGTCAGTGGGCCTGGAGGACATCTCGCCAGCAAAGCCCCTAATCCAAGGAATCCAAAAAGCTCGACCCGTCCGGGCAGCACGGCCCGTCAGTGCAGTCCGGTTCACCTTCAAGCCGAGTAAGGCGCTGTTGCAAAATCACAAACTGGTTCTGCAGCCTAAATTGATTCTCAAGCAGAAGGTCAGCACGCTCGTGCAGAGCAGTCAAAGCTTCAAGGGTATCGTCCCTGAAAGATTGCAGTGCTTCGATGAAGTCTGATCGCGCACTATCGACGTCCTTTTTGGCTTCCACAGAGGCACCACGAACCAAGCTGAGCAGCGAGCACTCAAAGTACTGACGGAACTCTTCAAGCTCAGCACGGGACACCATACAAGAATGACAGATCACTCAAGAGGCAAGAGGTGCCTGCCATGCACCCCCCCCTTGTAGGGGGCGATCGCGCTACCCAGGCCACGAGGAGCTAGAAGCCTTGGAATTAGCCCCCGGAGCCTGCTAGACAGCACTACAGGACTCTAGAGAGGCCCAAATCAAAATTGCGAAGCGACTTCGCTGCAACTTGATCCAAAGCGGAGTGCGGATGCACAGAGCTTCACGACATGTACCGAGGCAAGAAGATGCAGGCACTGGCAAAAGCGAATAAAGGAAAACTTTCCAGTTTTACCAAAAGAAAGGAAACCGTTTTTCCATTTGCAAAACACCAGTGGACAAGTCCACCCGTACGAACTTGCCCTGCAATACCAAATGAAGAGTGCGTCTATAATTTCTCAGAGCAAAAGCCTCAAGGCTCTCGGCATGATAAAACCGCTGACCTCCAGATCGCAGGTGGATGGAGAGGCCGATAACATGCCATGCTGGCCAGATACCGTTTGCCTCCTGGCAGGTCGCCGCAGCCGAGTTAAGTAGGGATGTAAGCGGCAGATCGCTAGCCCAAGAAGTGTTGCTTGTCACAATACCGTCCATCACAATCTGAGCTTCACCAGTAAGAGGGGGAGCGAATTGCTCCCTAGCCTTGAGCTCGGACGCCCAAGCTCTCCCGAGAGCTTCAGCCTCCTGATTAGGAGACTCGCATGCAACAAGCTCATCACCGGAGTCATCGGCAGCTGGGTTGGCAGCACCTCCAGGAAACAGGTCGGACAGACGATGATCATTGTTGTCGCTGTCCGATGAGACATGGCTGCGCGCAGCTGCAGCTGGCCGAGCGGAGTCCGACATGGAGCCGACGGAGCTAGACTTCTAGAACGCGAGCCTGCAGCCCCACACCTTACGGCCCCAAGGACTCAAAACTAAAAATTCAAGCTTGATGCCCGACTTCGGATGTAGTCGCTTCACACAATTCCATGCGTGCATGAAAGTGCAAAGCATGTAAATTGAAAAGGTCGAAACACAAATGAAATATCTCAAACTGTGTGACGACAAATTGAAGAAATGTTTTCTCGAGCTACCGCGAGGTGAAACATACAGTTCAGGGTTCGCTACGTGCCTACGCCCCACACAACAGACAGAAGTACCCGCACGCAGACACTAGACGTCGGGTCGCTCAGCTTTGAGTGCTGAGTCCTAGCAGCTCGCCTCCTGGTTTTTGGCTTGAGGAGCCTAAAGTACATCCAGCCATGAGCAGGTTCCAGCAAATCCGAGCATCTTGTCCAGCGAAGGCTCAGAGCAATGCCGACCATGGCTTTCAGCAAGATCTCCGGCATAGGAGTCCTATGCGAGATAGGCTGTAACTCCTCCCACCTCGAAACCATCTCCCAGGCTGGCTTGAGATGGGGCCTCAGGAGAGGCAGCCTTCTCTGGGAATGTGCAAGCAACTGCCTGTACGTTCCCAAAGGAGCACCCACCTTGTAAAGCTCGTCGGCGTAGTCTCTCAGCACCAAGGAAAGAAGAGGAGGGCAGGCAAAAAAATGCCAAAACAGCACTCTCCGACAGCCCTTCCCTAAGCCAAGCCACAAAGCTGTCCCAGATTCTCGTCCTGAGGGCAGCCGTCTCCTTTGTCGCGAGCTCCACGTCAAAGAGGGAGCCTTGGCGACGAGGTCGAGCTCGAGCAGGACCTGGGTTGCACGCTTCGCCCAGTCTCTTGTTGTCGTCCAAAACACAACTGCTTACAGTCAAGCCGGCAGAGACAGCAGCGTCCGCAAGGGCCATGGCAAGGTAGCTTGCTGCGGCGGATGCTCGGCCAACTTTGTCCAGTTCTCTGCAGTGCCAGAGGCCCTGCCACGCAGAACCTTGTGCTTAGCTTGCTGCTTCCAGCCAGGGCGGTGTTTGTGAGGATCCGGGTCCTCTTTGCCAAGGTCTACCGTAGGCGCAGCGGTCGTAGACCCAGTTGCCAAGCGACGGCCAGTCTTCAAGCAGGGCTTTAACCTGGGGCTGCTTCCACAGCCAGCTTCTGTCTGGGTTCTCCAACCAAAAAGGCAACCCTAACCCCAGGAGCAGCCGGACGACACAACGACGAAAACGACGTGCTTGTTGCCCTGGAGCACGGGCAGAGGCCGAGGCCGAAAGTCCAGGGAGGTCTAGAGGGAACTCTGAAGACCGGTAGGAAGCAGCACTGAAGGTAGGGCAGGAAGGCGAAAGGCCGACAGCTGAGAACACACGCGACTCGACAGCGGCGAGGATCTGGCTCTGAAGGGCAGGCCGCAACAGATCCTGGGACTCGCCGTGCAACCAGTCGAAGGTGATGGCCCAGGGAAAACCACAGCCCACAACGGCCTTAGCAACCGACCGACTTCCAGCGTAGAGACAGAGGTACCGGGGCAACACAAAGCTGCCCCGACAGGGGAGGCAGCCTGCCGAGAGGCCAAAGGAACTGCCTCCTTGAGCAACTCACAAGGAACGCGAGGGCAGCCGAAGAGACCAAGCCGGCAGACACTGCAGCAGGAGCGGGACTCTGGTCCGACGCGGGCACGCAGGCAGAAGGCGGAGGCTCTGCCGCACCGTAAAAACCAGGGGTGCCAGGGCACTGGGCAAAGGACTTGTGAAGAAGATCAAAGCCTAGCATCTGTAGAGGATGCCTTTCAGCACTGAGCAGAAAAGAGTCAAGGGCCTCAAAGCGGCCTAACTCGGCTTCTCTAAGCCAAACAGGTTCGGGAAGAGCCGGCTCCCTCACCGGACGCTCTCGAGTAGGGTCATCACTGGGGTTGTCTTCCGAGGCTATGTAAGCGTAACGCGGGTAGAGGTTAAAAAACAGGAGCCCTGGCAATGATGCTCTCAGCCGGGCGTTGACGGAAAAGGAGCTCGATCGGCTTTCAGCAAGGCGCCGAGAACCACTTGGGAATCCAACAGAGAGAGCGTTCTAGCCGATTCCCAACCAAATGGGGACAAAGACTCTTCGGTGGAGAGATACGCATCCATCTCTTTGATGTTTATGTGATCTCTGCGCCTCCGTCGGAAAACTGAGTGGAGCCTGAAGTGCAGTGTTCGTGCGACCAGGGTCCAAAGCGGATGGGTGCGAAAAATTCCCCCAGGCAATTCGCACTCGACCTCCAACTGCTGGTGCTCGCGCAAAAGCGCGTTGACAGGCGAAAGCAGTTTGTTCCAAAGACCCTTTGTCGGAGTATGCCTCAGCAGTTCGCGAACAAGGTCTGGGGAAACGCGAGCCGTGACAACAGCACCCAGCGAGGAGGAGGCGTCCGAAGCCACCACAAGCCCACAGCTCTGAGCGCGGAGGTCCGTGGCTAAGAGCGGCGCGAGAACACAAAGCTTGAAGAGCTCAGCACGCAAAGACGGCGGGACTCGCACCAACTCGTGCCGCTCGCGACCTTTTTGCAAGACGTAGACCTGGTCAAGCAGGCAGAGACAGCGGCGCCGGAAAGAGAGGGCGGCGACCCAGGAGCCTGCCAAAGTCTCCAAGAGAGAAACCGTAACAACTGGCAGCTCCCACACAGTTGCGGTCAAAGCAGCAAGCGGGATCAACCGGCTCCAGGCGGGACGCACAAGACCGAGCTCACCCAGGACGGGACGTCGGCGCCCCAAAAGGTAGCAGAGTCAGAGGCGAAGAAAGCTTTCTTCTCATGCCTAGGCAGAGGCGCAGCAGCGTAGGCTCGGTGGAGGCCGTCCACAATCCGCTGGCTGCGCGAAGACGAAACCTCAAAGTGGGGTCTCCGCAACGCTCTCTCGATGACGATCACATCGTCTATGACGAGCCCCAACATGGCAGGACTCCGGGGCACGGGCCCCTTGTGCACAAGAAGCTCGTCCCACCCTACCACCTGAGCTTGAAGGATCAGTCCAATAACATGGGCAGACTGGGCAACCGACACAGCATTGCAGTCCCCCATGGCCATGCAACACAACGCAGCAACGACGCGACGGGACTTCCAAAGGCCCGGCTCGAAGCAGGAAAGAGGTGAAAGGTCGCGGGGCTTGAAAGAGCCAACAATGCGGTATTGGGCTGTCCGGTCGGTCGTGACCCTAAACTGGTGGTAAAAATCCTTTATGTCATCGCCTGAAAGGTAGAGCTGCTGGTGAGGCGCCAGCTCTAGCCCAAGAAGGGCCGATGCGGAGCCCATCGTGGAGAGCCACCTGACGTCGGTCGGCATGCAAAGGTTGGAAGGGCGAGCATCGACGATAAGTCGATCAGCATCGATGCTCTTGGGGAGAGCGAAGACGCCACAGGCTGTCCTATGATCAAAACGGTCCTCGTCGAAAAGCTGCAGGCGGTGGCTAGCATCGAGGGCTTGTCGGGGCAGCGGAACTGCACACGAGGAGGTGGAGCAGCTGCTTCCTCGACCGGCCAAGCATGCGCGCTCGGAGTAAGGTAAAGAGAACGCATGGGCCCATCCAGAAAAGGAGACGGGTCAAAAGCCGGAGGCTCGCTGGGGAGGCTCAGCCGGCCAACCTCAATGTCTTTTGCTAAGTTGAAGTCAGTAAAGTGGCCGGGAGCAGCATCTGGGCTCAGGACGGCCAGAGCTCTGACCTGCTCTTCGACGCGCTCCACTTTTCCAGCAGTCCTGCCCATTGCGGCAGCATCCACGGGAAGGGCAGAGTCCCACAACGACACAGCATTAGCAAGACGATCCCAGGCGCGATGCACCGAAGAAGAAAAGGGCTCCTGCCACCGTCGACTTTTAAAGGAAGCGCCGGGGCCACGAGCAACGCGGTGAAGCGGCTCGGCTGCGAGGGAGTCAAACACCAAAGCGATCAGCTCCAAGGCAGCACGGTTGCCAAAAGGAGAACACTCCGAGAGAGTGCCCCGGAAGAAGGCCGAACCAAAAGGGCCAGGCGAGCTTGAAACACGTGGCGTGAGCAGGTCGAGGACCTGCGGGTCGTGGTGCAAAAAGTCAGAAAGAACACCCCGCTGTGAAGAGGCAACGGCGGTGGAGGCCGAAGGCAAGCGCAAGCAGCAGGAGGCCGACCCCTGCAACACAAAAGCGGCTAAGGCCCATCATTTTTGCTGACCCCCGGAGGGGCCTGACCTGTCACCTTTCTGCCTCCCTTGGGTGCACCCTTGTCGGCTTTATCACCTTTGTCCTGACGGCCGTCGGCATCCCCGTCTCCGCGGCCGCGTCCCTTTCCTCCCAACTTCTTCTTCGCCTCCAAGTGCTGCTCGAGCTCACGGACCTTGTGCAGGCACAGCTCTGCCCACCTTGGCTCAACAAGCCTAGTGTGGTAAGTATCGGTGGCATCAGAAGAGGCGTTCCGCTTACCCGCAAAGGCGGATAGCGGCGGAGGTTGTTCGAGCAGGAACTGCTCCGCGAGAGTCCACTGACCATTGTCAAAGGCCTGTTGGTCGCAGGCAGCTATGCACAAAGCGCAGCGCGCGCGAGCCTCGTCATGACGGCCAGCCCTCAGCGCATCCCATATGCCGCATACACTCCAGGCCATGCGCACGGTCGTCGGGAAGTTTCCGATATGAGATCGGTACTCAAGCCATGCTCTGCTTGTTGCCCTAGAGTCTTGCAAAGCTGAGCCGACCCTCCGTGATAGCAGGTCCTCCTCGAGCTGGTTCTCGATGCTGGTGAAGATCTGGGAAGGGTCCGAGGACAAGGTCTCCCGAAGGATCCTGTAGGCGGCTCCTTTCGACCGGCTAGATCCACCGCTAGAGGAAGAATCACTTGAGGGAAGCAGCCCCTCGGCTCTATCCAGAGCACGGTCGAGAGGCGAGGCATGCACAGCCAGCTCCCAACAATCTTAGTCAGACTCAGGACGGCCGTCTCAATGGGACTTGCACCTAGTTGGGCCTCGACCTCGGCATCAGCTTCGCCAAGGGAAGAGGCAGCAGCAGACAAGGCACCGACGCCAGGCACAGGCTCCTCATCAGTTGGGCAGGAAAATCGCCCAAGGAGGGCCGTTGCTTCGCGAGAAGGCCCTGTGTCTCAGGACTAATACCTGAGTCGTGGGCCGCCTTCAGCATCGAGGGGTCAAGCCCGGGAACATCTTCCGCTCGACCGGGAGGCAAAGGAGTACCCGGCACGGCTCCCAGCTCGGAATTCTTCGGCTTCTTGGCTGGCTGCTTGGCACTTGGCTGTCGCACCTACACTGCGCGCTGGACCGGCCGGCTGGCCAATCACCCGGTTGTTGGCAGAAGAGATTTGGGCCAGGGAGGCCTCAATGGCGGCAAACCTAGCCTCGTGAACATCCCGGCCCGACGGGGCCGTGGCAAAGCCAAACTGAGAATCGGAAACCTGAACCAGGGCTTCAGCAAAAGGAAGGCAAGGGCCAGACTCGGGGTTCAGGAAGCGGATGTCGCTGTCATTGCCAGGCCCGACAAAGGAGGCAGCAGCAGCAGCAGCAACATCAGAACTCAGGAGTCCGACCCAAATCTTCAAAGAAAACTCGGCTGGCTTAGAACGGTCGGCGGCAGAAGCGGCCATGACCTCACAAAGAGAGGCCTTCGCTGCTCAAGGTCCGCTTGCTAGTCTTGCGGTCCCAGGCCTTATGAGGGAGAGCCGTGACAATCTTTCCCTCATGCTCAGAAATGAAAATGGCAGCAACGGTCCTCTTAGCAGACTCCTCTCCAACCGAAAGGGCGCCCACTGAAAAGTCAAAATCCGTGCGGCCGCTATCTCGGCACACTCTCCTCGCTCTCGCTGCCGTCTCCTTCCTCGGCGTCCGACATCACACCTCAACGGGGGGAGCGAGCCCAGCTGTCTGGCAGGCCAAGCGGGCTTCCCACAGAGAAGGGAAACCACAGAAAACGGAGTCACGCAGCTGGCCACGGTCCTCGCAAACAGTCCTGGCGGCCGCCGGGGATCGAACAGAGTCCCGTCAGCCCCACGGCACACAACGTACACTCGGGATGCAAGAGGGTTGCGGCTGCGCCCGCTCTGACCACGGTGGGTGCCAGCCAAGGCCCGAGCAAAGAAGCGGCCCACTTCGCGAGCAATAACACCACGCTCCTCGTCCGAAATGGAGCTAGCACGAGCCCTCCCTCAGGCAGGGGCTTGCGAGCTGGCAGCAGCAGACACGGGGGGAGTAGAGGTGTGAAGTCCACTACGGGGTTCGGGACCAAACCCTAGGCTGCTGCCAGCAGGAAGCTCTAAACCACTAAGGGCCGCCGCGTAGGCAGAAGTCGAAGCAGCGGCGGGCTCCCGGCTGGGAGTGCGAGGCGTGGGAGAAGGAAGCTCGACCCTCTCAAAAGTCAAGGAGCACACTTGCTGCTCGAGACCTGCCAGGCTCATGAAAGGATTCAGAAAAGTGGGCGGGCAATCCTTGAAGAAGACAGCCTTGCACGAACGAACGAGCTCCAGGCCACCCTGAGGTAAAACAGAAGGTCTATTACCGGACCAACTAAAATAACTAAAACCCCAACCAGGATCCCCCAGAAAAAGCTTGGCACGTGGAGCTGCTCCGGCTCAAGAGGGCAAAGCGGACAGCCCGCAACGAAAGAAGGGAGCTCCGACTGTGGCCCCAGCAGTTCCTCCGCAGCTCTAAAGGCCAAAGAAGCTAAGCTTCCTCCAACTAAGCTGACCTGTAAGGGACGACCCAAGGCCATGCACTCGAACCACAGAAACTGCATTCGCACATCGTATCATGAGGTGGTCATAACATCGCAACTCAGAGTTGAACACTTCGCAAAGGTTCAGCCTGGAGTTCGAACTCCGTGTTCGAACTCTGGGTTCGGGAACTCTGTTCGCCTGGGTTGGGTGTTCGAACTCTGGGTTCAGGAACTGTTGTTTGAACCCGGGTTAGGGCACTCTGTGTTCGAATGCCGGGTTCGCAAGGAACTCTATGTTCGAACCCTGGACTCATTTTGGGTTTAGATTTTCAAAACTGCAGCGTTCTCGAACCCGGGGTTCGAACAAAGAGTTTCCAAACCCGGAGTTCGAACATGGAGTTCCGGAATCCAGGGTTCGAACATAGACATAGAGTTCCCGCCCAACACAGAGTTCCCGTGGCCTACTGGAAGGGACAACCTCTTCCTTCGCAAGGGGTGGCGAACCTGGGGTTCGAACATGGAGTTCCCGAACCCAAGGGTTCGGATTTCGAACATGGGGTTCGAAAATAAAGTTCCCGAACCCAGAAACCGAACATAGTTTCCGAACCCAATTAGAACATGGAGTTCCGAATCCAGGGATCAAAGAACCCAGGGCTTGAACACAGTTCCAACGCAAGGCTTTTGGAGGTGCAAAAACGCCTTCCCCAAGACAAAACAAGGAGAAGGCACGAAACGGATTCGAGACCCAGGGTTACAACCCTCCGTTTGCCTGGTGAGGTTGACCTCACTGCATAGGTTTTGGGGGTCGTCGGACCTTGGTTTGGAACGAGTTCCAAACCTGAGGTTCTAGAAATTGAACCGGTTCGATTCGAACATCGACGTTCCCTCAGAACGCTAGATTCAAACTTCAACTTCCAATTCAACTCCTCCAGAATCCAGAGTCTCAAACTCAGATTTGAACTTGGGGTTGCAAACTTTGTATTCGAACACTCTGGTTCGAACTCTGGGTTCAGGAAACTGTCCAACTCCAGACAACAGAAGAACTAACGGGTCCTTCAAGCAATACTGTGTAGATTTGTCGGAAAAGCCCTTGTTCGATTGCATGTTTCTCTTTTGGTGCATTTCATGCGTTTTAAAACCCCACAGCGAGATCATGTGGGGCTTTCTTCTTTCGTGTTGGAGAGTTCCATTAGATTCTTCGCTTGCTTTTCCTGCTCTAAACCCGTTTCGTGTGCTTTCTCCTTTTTTGTTTGGAGAAGACGTTTTCGTCGATTGCACCCTCTTCAACAAAGCCCTGCGTTCGTAAACTCCGTGCTTGAGTTCTAGGATTTGTACTTTTCAATCAGCATGGCAAACGCGTGTCAAGCCTAAGACCAGATTGCAGCCTGCGGGACCGCACTCTCCACGCAAGAGGATCATCAGACAAAAGTTTCAGAAACTCATGCGGCCAGGACGATGGCAGAGTGGACGTTAACACCCGAACGCGCCTTTAGGCACTCACTTAGGGCTTACTGCAACTAGCACGGGTCAACCTACAACACTGAAACGTTCAACAGCTCTTTCTTACGGTTCTTCGCAACCGACTGTCACACGACGCGCTTGTCACGCAGCGCAAGGCCTTGAGCCAAAGTGAAACGGGTGCGGACAGAGACTTCAGCGCACTCTCCAGGCAAGTCCTACAGACTCCTAACAGCTTCTCTGCACTTGCAACTTTGCTCTGTAGCCCTGGTGCTCCCGGACTTCGTCTCGAAGTCCAAAACAGACAGCGAAAACACTGACAGCAAGCTGATCTCAATCATGTTCTGAAAACTTTAGGAAACGGCTCTTTCCGTGAAGACTCACGAGGAAAACTCCGGTTAGTTCTCAAACAAAGACAATTATGAGTTTGGCAATGGATTGCAGTAGTTGGTGCGAGGCAAAGCAATGCCTAAGTGCAAGAGAAGTAAGCTGGGCAAGTGCGATGCTGGGTTTGAGTTTGCGCCTCTCCTTTAATCCCACTTCTGTAATCCTTTGCAGCCTTTGCCCCCAGACCCTCACTGCACGCGGAAGAAGAAAACCTGGCGTGAGCAGTGCAAGATACAGCAGCGAGGCACCCTGGAGAATTCGCTCTGGTTAGGCTTCGCTTTGCCTTGCGGAAGCGCAAGGTATTCTTCTCACCTCTGAGTGAATCGGTGCTGCATGAAGCGCAGGCGACCGCGGCTCAGGGCGACGCGGCTCAGAGCGTCCGCGCAAGTATTCTTGTCACCGGCTCGGTGCTCAATCTGGAATTGCACGCGATGCAGATGAGCCCAAGTGGCTGCGAGGCGAAGAAAAGTGCTGAGCGGCTCAGCAGTAATGAAGAGGCGATTGACGCCACTTTGTGCGGAAGTGCTGTCACTGGCGCTGGGCAGGACAAAGCGCAGGTGCTTAGAGCACAAGAGAGCCCAGTAGCAGCGCCTTCGAAGCGATGTGGCTTTGCCTCGAAGGATCGTGTATGCATGTCCCTGCCCGCGAGCAAGCTGCCCTGCAGGTCGGGTTCATGCCTATTATAATGCCCAACAACATTCACATGCTGGGAAGAACCGTGGCTTTGTAAGTGTTTATATAGATTGCAAGCATGTTGTTAAATAGCTTGCAACCCGGTTGTATCTATATTGCAAATCACTTATAAGTGTGATAAACAAATACAACTGTTAAGAGACTTAGCTAAGTGTTTACATAAGTGGTGTAAGTATGTTAAACATTTACAAAGGTTAGGGGGTTTAGCTAAAGTTTAGCTAAGTTAACATAACTTTTTGAAGTACAGTTCTTATATAGGGAAATGACTATGTTAGGCACGTAAATGACTTGTGTTTGAAGGGTGTTTCGTGTACACAGGGGGGGGGGGGCAGGGCGGACAAGAAATGCATATCCTGTTGCCATGCAGCCGTTTTTTTCAAGAGAACTTGGAAAAGATGAAGCCTGCCTGGGCTACGGCCGTGGAGCAGGCATTGAAGAAAGATGCTCCGGCATTGGAGAGATGGACGGAGATCGAAACTATCCTGCAGGAGAACAGGAAGTGCTACAGGCAGGTGCTGCGGCCGGGTCAAGTCCTGGTGCACCCGTCGAATCGCTCAGGGTTAGGATTGAATGGAGCCCAAGTTCACAAGACAGGGGCCCAAGTGCAATCTGTAGGCTTCAGCTCCATGGAGCTGAAGCGAAGTGTTTGCATGGAAATATCCACGGATAGAGCTCTGAGCCAAAAGGCCTTTGGTTTCAACAAGCGGCAAGTGGATATGAATGGAGGGCTGCTAGCTGAGGTGCGAGGCGATGAGCGATACATGTCGTTAGCATGCAGTCACTTTACGGCATTTTGCCGTGCCTGCATTGCAGCATGTCCCTCGGACCAAGAGACGGTTTCGGACAATGGCAAGCTCACGTTGCAGCGATTGTCTACCGACTTTCGGCAGGCCGTGGATAATGGATGGGAGTGGCTGGTGCTGTCAGCGGAAGTTGATGCAGTACTGCCCTCGCTGGCCTCCTTCGTTCAGGAAGTCATGAATGCAGCCCAAGGAGTTGCAAGAACGGCAGGCGAGCTGGAGCTCGCCATGGCGATGGTGACCCGAGCAAAGTTGCTGGCAGAGCAAGGTTTGTGCATCGACTGGGATGTTGTGCAAGCTGATGTAGCAGCCACGGTGCCGGATGCCTCGCCACAGACCGTGGCCGCTTGCGGGTTGTTCTGCAGATTCTATGCAGGAGGAACCGAAGCACCTCTGCTGAAGTTTTTGCACGACTTTTCCTTGAAATATGGGGCAAGCAAAAGATTGGGAGAGGAATTCATGTCCACGGTCGCCGGCCTCCGGTTTGCAGGGCAGGAGCGATCGCATGCTTTCGCAAGGGCTGCGATGATCGCGACGAACCTGACAGCCACAAAAGTGGTAGACGGTGTGGCTCGGCTGCTGAGCAAGAGCGATGTCAGCAGGCTCTGTGCGAAAGGCATGGAAGATGCTGTAAAGGATTGGGAGGAGCTTCTTGCTCGTGCCTGGGCTCACACTCAGAATGTGACGGATGCAAGTGCACGTGCCAAGGCAGTTGAGTGCTTCGGTCGCCTGATGGTTCGCAGCACCCTCTTCATGTGCAAGAAAGAGAAGTCGGGGCAAGAAGGCCTTGAGCACGGGTCATTGGCCAATTTGCTGACTTTGTACGAACACGAGATGGGTGGCAAGAGTGCCGGTGCAACACCGGCTGCTGCTACAAAAGATGGGCCGTCTGATGCGGCCCCTGCGACCTTGGAGAACATGCAGGACCCGGCCTTCCTGATGAAGCTGCAAGGCTTCGCAGAGGGGAACCTGTACAAAGGCAAGCAGAAGTATCAGGACATCTGGCCTTGGAAGCTGGAGAAAATCGGCCAGAGCCACGGCTCTTTCTCGCTGTCTTGCCCAGTGAGCTGGGACAAGAAGGTCGAGGTGCCTCTGAGCGAGCTCAAGAAATTTTTCGATCTGTATAGCGGAGATGCACCCGAAGTGGTGTCTGACTCTGTGGACCGACTGCCCCATAATACGGAGGCTTGCAGCCAAGAGAGACTCCGAGGAGAGTTCTTCGAGCTCTGCTGCGAGTATTTCCTGAAGTACTCGCACTGTGAAGAGGAGTTGACCTTTTTGAAGAATCCCACGTGCTGTCTGTTGGAGGGCAAAGCCAAGACAGGCAAGCTGACGATCTTCCCCTTCACGGATCAGATTTCAAAGATTGGCTTAAAGCCGGCAGCTGGCAGTGTGGAGGTTTGGCATTCGGCCTCGGGCACAAGCTTGTATATTTCACCCCCGGCTGCAGCCGGAAGTTTGCTATCTGCCTTCTGGCAGATCCCGGTCGGCTCAGAGCCGAATCTGGCGACAGTCCTTCTGAACGAGAAGGGCTGGAAGATTCCCATTTTGAAGAACACTGCTTCGCTGAAGGAGTGCATCCTGTACAGGCCGAAGCCTGCCGAAAGTTTGAGGGCCTCGGCCCAAGAGCTGGATCAAGGATCCGCTGCCTCGCGAAAGCGAAAGGCTTCTTGAGTTACTCGACAGTTCTCGCTTGCTGAGTTTTCCGGGAAAAGGAGC